TTCTCCAAGGTGTGCCATTTTATGCACTGATGCAGTTAACCCTTTTTGTAAAAGATTTAGTGTCTTTGGAAATATACTAAGGAAATACTAAAACCAGACTTGGGACTATACTAAGGAAATAATAAAACCATTTATATCAGAAGTTCCCAGTCCCAGCTGAACAGCAGAATTATCTGGAAAGTCAAAATCAAAACAGCAACAAAAAATAATCAAACGAACCAGAATATCAATGTCTGGGGCCCTCAATTAGAGACTCTGATGTAACAGGGCTAAGCATGAGTGTTTTTTTCAAAGCTCCCTCCGGTGATTGTAATGTGTTGCTGAGAGCCATGCTCAATGCAGGAAAGATTAGTACTTCCATTACCTCTGGAGGGAAAAGAAAGAAGCTTTTACCTTTCTATAATCTCCACTATAGCGGGGGAGGGGAGAGGAACAAAGGTTATAGTTGAATTATTCCACTTATAATGTGAACAAGACATTCTCATTATGAACCTAGATGAATAATGGCTCATCATGCATTAATCCTCTGGTTAGTATCTTGGTTTCTCATCTAGAGGTATCTGATCTGATAATAGAAGTGAATGGAAACACTCAGGACCTTTAAGGAGCTTGTCTGGAAAGCTGTCAGGGATGTACATGCGTTCATTGGGGGCTCGCCAGTGCCCCACTGTTTATGCTGGTGCACTTGTGAGCTGGATATTGATGTCACATCTAAGCTATCCGAGCCTCCTCAAATAAAATTATTTTTGTGGTGGCATATAATCATAGCACTGTAGCACTGTCCTCCCATTGTTCATCGATTTGCTCGAGCAGGCTCAGTAACGTCTCCATTGTGAGACTTGTTGTTACTGTGTTTGGCATATCGAATATACCACAGGGAGCTTGCCAGGCTTTGCAGTGCAGGCAAGATACTCTCAGTAGCTTGCCGGTTTCTCCGAGAGGACGGAGGAATCGAACTTGAGTCGGCCACCTGCAAGGCAAAAATGCCTTACCTGCTGTGCAATCACTCCAGGCATATAATCATATTTAGCTAATATCTCAGTGCTGAGATGGCTGGTGGGGCTGGAATCCTGAACAGACACAGATTATATTACACCCCCTCCCCCGCACTACTGTCTAATAAAACAATAAAATAGTTGGAACAAGTAGAAAAATAACTAAGATTTATGTAGATTTAGCAAGTACAAGACACGGTTCTAGGCACTTTGCCATGTAACATTCGCTCCTCATTACTCCACTAGTAACTCCACTTCACAGACTAACATTAGTAACTCCACTTCACGGGTTAAGAGGAGCTGAAGCTAATTAGTAGAAGCAGATCCAATGTGTCACACTAACAGAATAGTCAGAGTCCCATATACACCTTATGAGCTGAATTCAAGGATTTGATGCCAGTTGCTAAGGCTTAAGAAGTTAATATTAGCTCTCATTCACTCATCCGGTCCATATGCTGCATGTTGTTCCAGGCTTGATTTTTCAAGATATTGAGGACCAAGCAAAAATTCTGTAACCCTAGGTTCCTATGATGTTATTCTCTCAAGTATCTCTGCAGACTATTACATGTATAAAATCAACACAAATCTAGAAAGACAGGAAATTCTCTAAGTATTCCCTAGTGCAAAACTCCTAAACCAATAGTATTTAACTTTTTGAACGGCACATATGTACCAGATAGAATGTTTAGCATCTGCCTCTGCACTTTCATCAATAAACACATCTAAGACAGTGAATTTTATTCATTTAGTTTTATAAAAATATGATTAAAATGGCAACATGTCTTCAGCTTGGAAATGTGATGTTTGATGAGTGACTAAATGACAGTTGAGCAAATTAGAGGAGTCAAGAAGTTTGGCATTGTTAGATAAGTACTTAAAATTTGCATCTTAAAAATAGTATTTTTCTGGATGGGGGAGATGGTATGGGGGGGTTAAGGTGCTTATCTTGCACATGGCTGATCCTGGTTCAGACCCTAGAACTGCATATGGTTCCCTGAGAGAATAGCAGGAGCAAAGAGTCAGCAGTAAGCCCTAAGCACTACTGTTTCTGTCCCACCCCATGCCCCCAAAGTTAGCATTTTCCTTTTCTTCCATATTTCAGGGTGGGGGAGTTTGGGTTCCTGTAAGCCAGGGCTTACTCCTGGCTCTGCGCTCACAGATCACTCCTGCCGGAGCTCAGGAGACCATAGTAGTGGTGGGGATCATGTCATGCAAAGTTTGCACCTTACCCTTTTGCTCTTTCTCCCTCTCTCTCTCTAGCCCTGTCAAGTTCCTATTTTATAAGTTTATTGAATAACGGATGAATCAGGAGAAAATGGGTATGTGTATGTCCATTCTTTTCAAGTTTAAAGCAAATCATTATGGCGCCAGTTTTAGCTGATTATTGGGAGGATGAAATGAGCTACAAGTAAATGAATTATTTAGTACAGGTTGAATATTCAGCTCTTTTTGGGAGGAGGGTCCTAAGCAGTTTTCAGAAGGTCCAGAGTGGGAGCACTTTGATGCTTCTTCCAGTTCTGTGGACGTAACGGTTCAGTGTCCCTAGGCAATGGAGTATTGCCCTTCAATGCTGGGGACCACTGGCACATGGGTCAGTACTCAGAGAACACTAGGGTGACATCCAGCAGTACTCAGAGGACCAGGTGGTATCAGACCAATAAACCACCTCGTTTTGAGCTGATCCCCAGAAGTTATCATATTTTAACTTGCCCTTTAAAAAAATTGAATTGATATGACTGTTAAACATAAATAAAAAGCCTTTCCAAAGCTATCCAGTGTAAAAATATGCCTCTTTTGGCAAAGTTTTCTGCTGGTATTACAACTGTTCGTAGCAATCCCCAAGCAAAAATAGCACTTTGCTGTTGGTTATGAAGACAGAGGTTTACAAACCAGTAGATAACATCAATTGAGTCAGAACCAAAAGTATTCTGGCGAAATTCCAATGGGAGTGATTAACATTCTCCAACTTCAAATAATTTTTATTATTAGCCAACACTTGTCCATGCCCAATAGCACACGTTGCATAAAGGGCATAGAATGAAGCAGCCCTCCCTTGGCAAGCGTGTAGCGTGCACATACTTTCCACTGAGGGCTTCCCTTTCTATTTGACTGCTATTCCACCTCTTTTCAACTCCCATTACTTTCAACCCCCGGGAACTTCTGCCTCGGGCAGTGCCAAGTATTTCCCCCAAAACAGATAGCATTGGGACACCTGTAGAATCCCAGGGGGAAAAAGACGAAATGCACATTTCAACTTTTTTTTTTTTTTAAAAAAAGAGCTTTGATGTTTGTGAAGCGATGAACATTTACTCCTTTTAATGCTGAGGTTGATACGAAGATCCTTCACTATTTCCCACAAAGCTGTTATTGGTGGCGAGGAGAGAGAAAGCAGGCTGCTTTGTAATTTACTGAAGTCTCTCGGCTTCGCAAATGGACCGCGGTCCATGCCAACTCGTGAGTCCAGTCCTGAGTTCTTCAAGCTCTTCCGACCCTTCTGCCCTCCCCCTCTCCCACCCCACCCCGCCCGCCTTCCACTTCTCTTCTTCCCAGTGTAGGGAAAGGGTGGGAGAGTGGGAGAACAATTCAAACCCTCTTTGAAAGCGTGTGAATGAATCTCAAGTATGCGAAACACCTCAGCTTTCCAACCTAATTAGGGCATGTAGAAAAGAGCCATTTTTCAGGACATTTTAAACCTTGCCGCTTACCCACCCATCCGGAGAGTGTCGCCGCGTGCAAGACTCGGGGCATCCCGCCGCACTCCCGGGTTGCTCGCTGCCCCCGGACATCCCCGGCAGCGCGCGGGACTCGGCTGGAGGACAGCGGGCGGTGGAGGGGTTGAGGGGGGGAGGAGGGAGACTCTACCCATCAAGGAGCACCGAGTCTGCTTTGCTTCTCTCTGAGAGTCATCTCGGAACTCCCAGAATATTTCAGTCTCAACTGGCCGAGGTCGAACAACGTCCGCGGATTGTCAGAGGTAAATAACGACTGGGCACAATAATAATCTTTCAGTTAAGAAATGCAAAGGTAAGGGGCTAAAGTTGGGCAGGCATTGTCTGGAAGGCAGGAGAGGAGAACAGAACTGTGTGTGAATGAATGCTGCGGCCCAGCCTCCAGGGTTCGAATCCTGGTTTGTCTTGACAGTGACTACTAAGTACCGGGCGCTCGGAACACCCCGACTCGGCCAGGTTGTCTGAGCTTTCTTGCGGGGATCTGGGATTAGCTGCTCTCTCTCTCTCTCTCTCTCTCTCTCTCTCTCTCTCTCTCTCTCTCTCTCTCTCTCTCTCTCTCTCTCTCCCACTCTTCCTCCTCTCTCTCCCTCCACTCCCCCCAACCCCCCACTGCTGTTAAGACTTGGAGATTTTGTGTTGAGATGGGGGCCCGGTGGACGCGCTGTCCGGAGCACCAAGTGGAGACTCTGGACGCACCCGCTTGGTGCTCCACGAGAACCTACCCTGCTGGCTGGATAGCGCCGAAGGGGTGACAGGTGTCACGGCTAAGAAGGATTCTTGGAGCAATGCTTTTATTATGCCGCTTAGATGGGAAAGGAAAAGAAAAGAAAAAAAGAAAAGAAAAGAAAAGAAAAAGGATCCCGGATAGGAACTCTGGACCAGAGATCCATGGGCTGGAAGAACCGTACGGGAAAGTGAGTGCAGCCCCGCAGGCGCCCGCGGAGAGCCCTCAGCAGGGACGTCTAGCTACGGCTTTCCCGCTCCAGTTCTCAAGTCAACTCATTAGCATTCGCCCCGCCCACGCCGCTTCCCGCCGGCCGATTGGCCCGCGCGCCTCGGCTGCCCGCTCCGGGCGGGGCCGGAGGGCGCGGGGCCTGGGGGCGGGGGGTAGAGATCGCCGCCGCGGGGCAGTGGGCGGGGACTCGTGGCGAGCGTGGCCCGGCGGCCACCAACCGAGCGCAGTGCGAGGGGGCGGGGCCGGGGCGGGGCCTCCCGGCGGGCTTTAGAGGCAGGTGACCCGGGCGGGGCGGGAGAGGCCAGTCCGCCCGGGGCCGTGACTCTGCTGCCGCGGCTGCCGCGGCTGCCGCTGTTGCCGCTGCTGTCGCTAGTGCCGCTGCCGCCGCCGCGCGCCGTTCAGTGCCCGCCGGAGGTGGGCGAAAGGGTGTGAGAGCACGAGGGGGAGGGCGGGGAGGAGGAGCCGAGCCGGGCGCGTATGGGGCGAGCACCGCCACCGCCCCCAGGAGTCGGCTGGAGCGCGGAGCCCCCTGCAGGGGAGGAGACGAGCGGCGGGGTAGGACGCGGCCGCCGCCACCGCCGCGCACCACGCGCCGGCCGCTTCCCGAGCTGGGAGGTGTCGGGGGTCCTCGGGCCGCCGCTCACCACCCTCCTCCTACTCAGGTGCTGCTCGCCGGAGCGCTGCGACCGCCGTCGGCTTCCCGGACCCCCGCTGGAACGCACCGCCTTGCCCTTGCCCTGCCCCGCCCGGATCATGCGGGGAGGGCCCGGAGGTGGAGCGGACGAAGGACCGGCCTGCGGCCACCGCGTTTAAGGGACTGGTGCTGGGGGCGGGGGGAGCGACCCCGTGTGTGAGTTGCTGCCCCCTTTCCCGCTGCCATGTGCCGCCGCCTCTCCGGATCTCAGCCTGTCGCCAAACTTTGCCGGTGCCGAGCGCGGCGCTGAGTCGCATTTCTGAACCGGGTGTCCCAGGCACGGAAAGGACTCTCGGGCTGGCCGCGGACTCCGCCGTCTTCGGGACCCGCGGAGGTGAGAGAGGCTGCGCGTTTTCCGGGTCTTCTCCGGGTTTCTCGGTTCTCCCCTTTTCCCGAGGATTGGGCGCTCGGGTCGCGGGGTGCACAGCCTGGAGGGCCCAGCGAAAGGAGGGGGGGCGGAGCGGGCTAGGGCGGGAGTCGGGAGTTGGTTCCCGGAGACCGGGGAGGTGGGGGACGCGGGGAAGAGAGCGCAACTTACACATTTGGGGACCGCTGGTGGGGTGAGGGGGAACCTGAACCGTTGACGCCCCTCTCGGTGGGAGTGGTTGCAATGTTCCCTTCTCTCCCACCTTCGTCTAGAGTACTTCCCCCGGAATCCGAGCTCCGGCCGGCCCTCCCCTCCCCTGCCCTGCTTTGCCCGGAGCCGAGCGCGGCCGGAACAGCTTTGGAAAAACAGTGCGTCTCGGGACGGGATTCTTCGGAGAGAAAAAGAAACCAACAGGTTGCCGGCCCCGGCGCCACCCGGAGTCGGTCCGCGGAAGGGAAAGCGCCCGAGCCCCGGGTTTTCTCCTGCCTGCGCTGGCCCCGCTCAGGCTGCGGGCGGCGAGGGGAGGGAGGGGGCGATGGCTCGGCCTGACCGGTCCGCGTCGCCCTCGCTCCTGCTGCTGCTCGTGGCGCAGCTGGCCGGCCGGGCGGCGGCCGCCTCCAAGACCCCCGTGTGCCAGGAAATCACGGTGCCCATGTGCCGAGGCATCGGCTACAACCTGACGCACATGCCCAACCAGTTCAACCACGACACCCAGGACGAGGCGGGCCTGGAGGTGCACCAGTTCTGGCCGCTGGTGGAGATCCACTGCTCGCCGGACCTGCGCTTCTTCCTGTGCTCCATGTACACGCCCATCTGCCTGCCGGACTATCACAAGCCGCTGCCGCCCTGCCGCTCGGTGTGCGAGCGCGCCAAGGCCGGCTGCTCGCCGCTCATGCGCCAGTACGGCTTCGCCTGGCCCGAGCGCATGAGCTGCGACCGCCTCCCCGTGCTGGGCCGCGACTCCGAAGTCCTGTGCATGGATTACAACCACAGCGAGGCCACCACGGCCCCGCCCCGGGCCTTCCCGGCCAAGCCCACCCTCCCCAGCCTGCCTCGGGGGCCGGCCTCGGGGAGCCAGTGCGCCTCCGGGGGGCCGTCCGTGTGCGAGTGCCGCGAGCCCTTCGTTCCCATCCTCAAGGAGTCGCACCCGCTCTACAACAAGGTGCGCACCGGCCAGGTGCCCAACTGCGCCGTGCCCTGCTACCAGCCGTCCTTCAGCCTCACCGAGCGCACGTTCGCCACCGTCTGGATTGGCGTGTGGTCGGTGCTGTGTTTCATCTCCACCTCCACCACCGTGGCCACCTTCCTGATAGACATGGAGCGCTTTCGCTACCCCGAGCGCCCCATCATTTTCCTGTCGGCCTGCTACTTGTGCGTGTCGCTGGGCTTCCTGGTGCGCCTGGTCGTGGGCCATGCTAGCGTGGCCTGCAGCCGCGAGCACAGCCACATTCACTACGAGACGACAGGCCCCGCGCTGTGCACCGTGGTCTTCTTGCTGGTCTACTTCTTCGGCATGGCCAGCTCCATCTGGTGGGTCATCCTGTCGCTCACCTGGTTCTTGGCAGCTGGCATGAAGTGGGGCAACGAGGCCATCGCGGGCTACGCGCAGTACTTCCACCTGGCCGCGTGGCTCATCCCGAGCGTCAAGTCCATCACGGCGCTGGCCCTGAGCTCCGTGGACGGGGACCCCGTGGCGGGCATCTGCTACGTGGGCAACCAGAACCTGAACTCGCTGCGGGGCTTCGTCCTGGGCCCCCTGGTGCTCTACCTCCTGGTGGGCACGCTCTTCCTCCTTGCTGGCTTCGTGTCGCTGTTCCGCATCCGGAGCGTCATCAAGCAGGGCGGTACCAAGACGGACAAGCTGGAGAAGCTGATGATCCGCATCGGCATCTTCACGCTGCTCTACACGGTGCCCGCCAGCATCGTGGTGGCCTGCTACCTGTACGAGCAGCACTACCGGGAGAGCTGGGAGGCGGCGCTCACCTGCGCCTGCCCGGGCCCCGACGCGGGCCAGCCGCGCGCCAAGCCCGAGTACTGGGTGCTCATGCTCAAGTACTTCATGTGCCTCGTGGTGGGCATCACGTCGGGCGTGTGGATTTGGTCGGGCAAGACGGTGGAGTCGTGGCGGCGCTTCACCAGCCGCTGCTGCTGCCGCCGCCCACGCCGCGGCCACAAGAGCGGCGGCGCCACGGCCGCGGGGGACTACGCCGAGGTGAGCGCGGCGCTCACCGGCAGGACCGGGCCGCCGGGCCCCGCCGCCGCCGCTGCCGCCGCCGCCGCGGCCGCCGCCTACCACAAGCAGGTGTCCCTGTCGCACGTGTAGCAGCGGGGAGCCCGGCGGGAGCGCGGGAGGGGCGGCCGGGCGCCCGGCCTCGCCAAGGTCACTTCCGTTTACAGCTTCTTGGTGCTCATGCCCCCTCCTGGGGCACCTTGGAGAGAGGAAAGTGGGGGTGAGGGGGGAGGTGGCCGCGCGCCGGCACTTCTCCCCGGGGGCTCAGGTGTGTTTTTGGATTGCGTTTCCCACTGCCTTCTCGAGAAGCGGGGGGGAGGGGACACCCTGGTTTTAATTTATATGTACTTTCAAAATGTTGAACTGGGTTGCATTTTGGCAACAAAACTGTACCTGCGCTTGCTCGAGGGTTTTACCCTCCGCAGGTTGGCATGGAGAATGAGGTTCCACGGGGTTCGGGTTTCCCCGACGGTCGCGCGCTGATTGGTGGGGAGGGTCTCCCTCCACCCCACCCCCCCTCGACCCCCCCCCCCCACCCGCCCCGTTTCTGTGTCTTTAAAGAAAAATGTGAACAGTGAAAGTGGGGCTGGCTGGAAGCTAGACTGGGGGGCGGGGAGCTCTCCTGCTCTTTGTGTGCGCCTGGAGGAGAGTAGCTAGTCCTTGCGGAGAGTGAGGGCGACTATCAACTCTTAGCCCCCCTGTGCTAGCCCAGGAGGGCGCAGTTGATGTGGGTAGGGCGTCCCCCAGGTGACAGGGTTGGGGACTGCTGAGCGATGCTGTGCTGCCCCACGCTTTGGTTCCTTCCCTGTGGTACTTGCCGACCAGCTCATTCTAACAGCGTCGGGCGCTGTGTCTTGCCCAAGTTAGACGTAGTTGTATGGAGCGTCTAGGATAAGGATGTGGAAGAGTGAGAAACCAAGGGATGGTGATTGGTTGAAGTCCAGACTGGTAAGATGGCAGCTTTGTGCCAAAGGAGAGAGTGGGATCTAATTACTTTTTTTTTTTTTAAGGAATTTGTCACCACGATTACTAAAGTAAACCCACATTTTCCTTCTGCTAATTGCTAAAAGCCAGCCCCCTCCCCACCTTTTTAGATTTCAGGACCCAAAGGGATATACCTCCAAGTAATTAAGTAAAATTTCCACACTTCTCTTATCTGCTCCGCCCCCAGCCTACTTCCTTTATCATGTTAAACAGTCTTTTTGGCTTTTCTTATTCCTCCTCTCCCGGAGAGCTGCGATTAGAAACCACACCCACCCTCGAATGAGGTGCTTGAACTGGGGGAGGGAGGCTGGCTACCTGGGAGCGAGCAAACACTGGCAGCAGTGAGGGAAATAAGTGTCCATGGACTTTGGACTAGTTTATAGCCAGATATCCCATAGGCAGCGACACTGCTCTTGGCAGCCTCTGAAAACAAATGAGCCCCGTCACACACCTTCCTATGCTGGGTCACATGCTCCAGCCAGAGCAAAGTGTCCCCCCGCCCCCTCCCCCAACATCTTGCCCTTATTCCTCCCCCTTCTGAGAGAGCCTAATATTGATGAGTACACTGTTAGAGTTCTGTTTGTTTTCCTAATGTGTTTAATTTGTTTTCCTAATCTGCCATTCCTTCATTCTTCCATGAAAACCTATATATTGATGAATGCGCGCACACACACACACACACACACACACACACACACACACACGCTTCTTTACTACTTAGCCCATTCTGTTTGCTTTTCCTAATCTGTTTAACCATTCATTCATGAAGAGTGTGAGGCCATTACTGGAGAGGGAGGTGACAATGTGGAGGCTAGCAAAATACCAATGACCAGGGTTGAGTGAGGACTAAATTTAGGAAACCAAATGGCAAGAGCAGTTAAAATTGGAGAATGCCTCCCGAGGGAAACCAGTCTAGGCATATGCACCTCATTGATACCAAAGTTGGAAAAATTAGATTTCAGCCCAGACCAGTTTCTATTTCATGGGATATTAAGTAAACAAGGCACAGTGCATTTGAACAGTTTGCTGGCGAGACGATGCCTGATTCTTGGGAGTTTTCAGAACTCTCACAGGTCTAAAACTGCACTGCTCTGCAAATATCCTCTGAATCAAAAATCAGATGTCAGTGGTGCTCTCAGCCACAGACAGGACAAAGTGTTCTAAACCAGAGGGGCAAAACTAGGGAAAGTGGCCTAGTTCCACACTGCTTCTTAGTTCTCAGTCTCTGTCCTCACACTTGCTTCCCGTCCCTTTTCCCTCAAAGATAAAGGCCACCTACTTCCCAGTCTCCGGTGTCAACTCCCCGCCCTACCCAGGCTAAACGTTGGGACCTGTTTACTGTCACCCCCTTGTCCCACAGCCCCCACTATTTTGAACTGATTTGCAGTGGTATTGTGCAAACAACTCTCTTGGAAACAATAGTAAAATGGAACATTGTGGGGCAGTTTAACTGCTTCCTAGCCGGCTCCGTGAAGTTGGAAAGAGTTCAGAGTTCAGTAATTCACCTTCCAGGCCTTCCTTCTGACAGTTCAGTTTTTAAACAAGCAACACCTTCCACAGCTAAACCATTCAATAATCAGACTACTGAATGATTCGGCCAGACTTGGGGAAATTTTTAATCCATATGACTCCCTCCTTTCATTTTCAAGTTGTCTAAATTAGCTGAACATAATTTTTCTTGGTGCCTTATTGGTTGATCCCCGCAAACCTTTGTCATATTCACGCAGTCATTTCCGCTGTCCGGCCATCTGCATGTGTTGTGATCGTGAGCATGTACAAGCTTCAACAATGTGCCAACAGCACGATGTCAGAGTCCGCATTCATTAGGCTGGTTCCTCCTGGGCCAGGGCCGCACTAATCCTGACACAGGCCACCAGGAGGAAACCTCCCGGACCCCACGCTGACCCTTAATAATAGCATCCCCGACCTGCACTCTCAAGTACAGAATGGGAACCCCAGAGCTAGGACATGTAGTTGTATATTTTAATGAACTGCTCCCTTGCTCAAGAGGCTGCTGGCACTCCCGTGCTTGCACAGAAAGGCCAAGTGGGGGGTGGTGGTGGAAGGGACAGCTTTGAGTACCTGCTTTCGAACACCAAGTGTGGCCAGCGGGCCAGAACATCACAGTCTTGGCAGGTGCGGGGGTCCAGTGACTGAGAATTGCGTGCTTTCCCTCATGCCCTTTCTTGGCGCCAGAGTCCAATCAAGTGATCCTGGGGGAGCAATGTGCCTGGGCTGAGAGGGGCTGGTTCTGACAGAAAAAGCTCTCAAGACATTGAAGCAAAGGCAAGGTTAGGCAGGATGGAATCACTCAGTAACCCACTCAGAACTGTCGGCAGGCAGCACAGGGACAATTACAGGATGTATTGCAGCCAGGACTATGTGGTGTATCATTTTAAGACATTATTTCATGTTACAAACTATGTGTATAGTATGTGTGTTGTGGGTAATGTATATACCTAATATATATTTTATATATATGAGAGATTTAGTGACTTTTGTTACGGGTTTGGTGCAGGTGAATTTATTACTGAGCCAAATGAGGCACATACTGAGTCAGTAGTTCAAGTCCAGGGCATTGGAGACTGATTTGCATATATGTATAGTGCCTATCTCATGCAGTATCCTCACTGTCATGTCAAATCCAGAACTCACAAATCAGAGCCAGAGATATTTTATTTGTAGACAATCAACTTGAATTTATAAATTATTACTGGCAAATAATCATTAATTCTGAGTCCATAAACACTAACAAAAGAAAACCCAGAGCATCTTGATACAGCTTTTGGTTTGGTTTTGTTCCTAAGAGTCAGTAGTACAGCAGTTGTATGTGGTTCTGCTAGTCTCAAGTTAATACCAATTTGCTGACCTTATTTCAAAGACTTTTGTATGTATTTTATTTGTGGGGAGGTAAAAATAATGGTTTGAGATTTTTATCAAATATGAAGAGTAGTTATTTATGAACAACAAAGAAATGTCTATTTTTGTTTCTTTGTTCCCAATTCATGTAGATAAAATTTTAAAGTGCATTAAAGCAATGATAAAGAAAATTTTAAAAGATACTGCGTCTGTTTCTCATGCGTTTATTTAGAGACCACTGCTTTCTTTGTATGAGTATGAGAGGTATAGGTCGTAATTTCAAAATCAGATTTCTCAGATGTATTTAAGATTTAAGTCGCAACATTTTTATTAATAAAATCAGGCAAATTCCAGTCACCAGAAGAATTTTGCTTGAGAATACTTCATAGGTTTCTGCAGCTGATCCTGTTTCATGATTCACTTGAAGAAATGAAGAAAAAACAGGGTACATTGTTCTTCTGAACCTACTTGAACAGAGGTGGTGCTGCTGGTCTGTCTCCAGTTGGGGGCAGGAACTTCCCAAACTGCCTATCATTCAGTAATTAGATCCCTAATAAGGTTCATATTAAGATATTAAGGTCTAAATCAGCTGTTTCTCAGAGTTGGTGATAATGCTTCCTATAGGGTCCTAGAACTGTCTGGGGATGGCAGGTGAGGGGGCAGGACACAGTGGTAGCCATGGCTGCAATCAGTGCTTATTATTTTGGAAAAAAGGGACAATAGGCCAAATAAGTTTCTTGTGGTCTAACTATAAGTCATGGAGCCCAGATAAGAGAACATAAATTGTTTTGGACTTGGTGCTTCCTGCTAAACTGGACATGCTCAGGTAGTACTGTCAGTGCTTGCTTAGTGGCTGCTGCTTTGGCAAATGCAGGTTAGTTGCCTGTCCACCAGCCACGATCACCTCCAGCTAATGCCCTGATATGGAGAGTATGAACTTTCTCTGACAGTGCTCAGAGGCATAGGTATGTGGAGATGATGAGTAATTAGGAGCTGAATGTGTTTGAGAGATAAGGCCAATGCAGTAGGAGGCGAATTACCAGTATGAGTATCTAATTCAGCACCAGTGCTGTCAGGGTAGGTGCGAGCTACAGAATAGAAAATGCAGTAGCTGAGCTGGAGGCACCTGGACGAGTACCTGGACTGTGTGCTGAAGACTCCAGGTGGCACAAATCCTGATGCTTTGTCTGGGAGCATTTTCCCCACAGAAAAGTTGGGAAGGGGCAAAGTCACAAACTGGAACTGACGGACTATGGCATGTAGAAGCAGCTTGGGGAAATAGGTGGCCTAGAGTATTATTTGTAATAATACTTTTAGTGATTTGGTGACTACAAACATATCTTGTAGGGAGCCCAACTGACTGGAGATTCAAATCTCAGGTCCACCATCTCTAGGCTGCACTGCTCACCTACCTCTTGGTACTTCTACTATTTTCCTCTCTGTAAGTGGAATCTCCTTCAAGGACTGGAACAGGTTAAGGTAAGTAAAGCAAGGAGGAAGCTGTTGAGGCATGGGTAAAAAGGAAATTGGAAAAGTAGGTTTTAATATTTGAATTTGCCTAAGGATTATTTGGGGTTCCAATTTAACATAGATTCCTAGGTTCTTGGTCCAGGAATTGACAACAGATCCCAAGAAACTCAAATGCAATGACAGGGACTAGTTAGCACATGAGCAATTTCAATGTGAACCTGGTGATGCTTTAACCAGGGGTCACAGTAAACCAGCAAAATCAACATCACTGCTGATGAAGGGCACTGGCAGAAGGTCAAAGAATGATGAATAAGATGACCTTTTGAAGGGAAGGCCCTAAAGCAGTACCAGAAAGTGGACAAAACACTGACCTCGACCTTAGAAAGATCCAGTTCCAATAGTGAGATAAAGGGGCCATCATTTGGAGAAATAGAAGCAAAAGTTAGAATTGAAAGGAGTAAGAAAATGAAGGGATAGGTGTTTTCTAAAAAAGCTACTCTGAGGTAATGAGATACTATCCTTGTTTTCTTGCAGACCTTTAACAGATCTTCATTTTGTTCACATTGATAGAGTCAAACCCAGGGACTTTCACACATGCAAGGGCTCCACAGCTGGGCCACACCTCCCAACTCCCTTGGCAACACTTCTAGTAATATAATTTGCTCCTTTAGAAAAAAAAATCATTAACTTGTTTTCCATTCAACTAGATTATTTTTGGGAGCTGGAGAGGTGGTTTATAATGCTGGAGCTCAGGCTTTGTATATGGGAGCCCTCAATCCCCAGTATGGCATGGTCTATCGAGAACTGCCGGGAGTGCCCCCACCACTCTTTAAAAAAAAAATGAGTCCTTTTAATAGTAAACTTTCCTAGTTTTGCATCCTACAGCTCCTAAACTAAAAACTAATATTCTTAAATTTCCACATGAAGTGTTCTCTCATTTGCCAAACCCACTTGAAATACTCAGCGGAAGTCACCTCAGAAACCTGATTGTGGGGCTGGAGCGATAGCACAGTGGGTAGGGCATTTGCCTTGCACGCGGCCAAACCGGGTTCGATTCCCAGCATCCCATATGGTCCCCCAAGCACCTCCAGGAGTGATTCCTGAGTGCAGAGCCAGGAGTAACCCCTGTGCAATGCCCAGGTGTGACTCAAAAAAGCAAAAAGAAAAAAAAAAAAAGAAAACATATTGTGCCTGTGTATTAGGGGACAGGCCTTGCTGAAGGGCACCCAGATCCTTTCGTTGTTTCTCTTTGGCAGTGACAGGCTAGTAGGTGACTGATTTAGTCTTTAAGTAATCATATCCTTAACTTGATAGATGTTGGATGTACACTAAATATTCTATCTATATAGATATTAGGTAGCACTTACCTGGGAGATTTCTCTGCCAGCTGTCAAAAATGTCTTCTAAGTAGCTCTATATTCAAGAATGTAACTTCTAGATGAAATCATTTTAGATATGATTAAGAAGGCTTGGGAGATGAAGATTTTAGTTGGTCTGTGCATTGAAGCTAAACATTTCCCAAAATACTGCATATATAACCTGAGTACCAAGTGAATTGCTTCCCTATAAATATTGACCTCAATAGTTTTAAAAATTAAGAAAGTGGGGCCAGAGTGCCCCTATCCAGGGTAGGTGCTTGCCTTCCCAGATTCAATCCCCAGCACCACATATGGTCCCCGAGTCTTGCCAAGAGTGATCCCTGAGCACCGAGCCAGAAGTTAGCCCTGAGCACTGCTGAGCATGGCCCAAGAACAAAAGTGAGTGTGGCCTGAGAACAAACGATAGTGTTTCTTTATAGATAAAGGAAAGCTAAACTAAGATTCAGTGGTTGGATTTCAATAATCTGCATGGAGTATTTAAGTATGAAATGTTTCACCATAAACATGGGACTCTAGATGTCTTCTTAGGTTGAACATATGAAGTTGCGTAAAGGCTGCCTTTTTTTCCACATACAAAAATGTCAGTTTTATTTGATTCAAACTCATTTCAGACCTTTGTCTTTTCCTTCTAAAATCTTTCAAGAACGGGGGAGCTGGCTCAATGGGTTGGATTTCATGCTTTGCATCTGTGAACCCAGAGTTTTCATTCCCCCAGACTCCTCAAAAGTTCTGTTCACAATATTCTACCAAAATTTAAATTTCATTGAGGCCAGTACTCCAATAGGAAAAAAAAATAAATTTTTTGAGCTGGCTAAATATTCTTTTTTATAATTATTTAAAAAAAACAAATTCCCTTTAGGTTTGAAATTCAGACAGTTGCAATAGTTCTCTTCCAACTAGTAAGCAGTTTTCATACCCCACCCCACAACATTTACTTACTTGGATTTAGTATTACATTCTTACCCTAAGCTGACTCAATTTCCTGTTTATCAGAAAAGGTGTATTGCCTCTCAGAATTAAAGCCAAAGGGCATTCTTGGTGATTTTAATTATTCTACCAGTTGTTCTTGAAGGCACAGTGTGCATCTTCCAAATTTAGATCTTCCAACATTCATATATATCGACATTTCATTTCCAACTTAGGTATCTAACAGTACAAGATACAAACTATCTTATAAAACAATGATTTTTTTTTTAACTTCTAAACTAAGTCAAATCACTTAATCCTAATCAGCAAGTTATCAAGAACCAAGTGATTAAACATTATGCTATAGGTAGTAAGATAAGGTAGATGAAAGAACAACCAGTACTGAGGATATGAGTTTCACTTAAAAACAAAGTCTTAATTTCAAATAACCTTGAATGATATTTGGTATATTTCTAACGGAAGTTTTGGAAAATATTTTTTTGGGGGGGAAGAGTAGTAGGTATCACACCTGGTGGCACTGAGAGGTCACTCCTGCAGTGTTCAGGGAACCATATTCAGTGTCAGAGATTGAGCCAGGGCTGGCCACATGCAAAGCCCATGCATACCTTAACCCCTGTACTTGGTCTTTGGCCATAAAAATAGAATTTTAAAGTTACCTCTACTGCAACACAGTATTAGTGCCTTAACTCCCAGCTTTCCTGTTTAACTCCTTCAAATCTTCAACTCACACAGATTCTGCATTACACCTATAATTCTCTCTGGAATATTCGACTACAATTTAAAATTAAATGAAACACAATTTAATTGGGGGGGGGGATACAAGATATTTTAGCTTGAATATACAATTCCCTCCTGGTACAATGACAGGCTATTCAAAGATGCCACCTAGTATAATATAACACTAAGTATTGTTGCCAGTGATCTAAACGTAACGAATTACCTTCAGGTTGAAAGGAGTGAAAACCAATAAACAGAAAACTGACATCTCAAACAAGAAGCAAGGTTGAAACCAACTTATCTATGTGAAAATGCTTTAAGATCCCACTATCAGAAAACACTGAAAACATTAGTTAGGCAGAGCTGTAATGCTATGTAACTTATGGAGAAGTATTACAAACATACTGACCATATTGTAATTAAAATAGAGTTTATTAGTTTTTCTTTTAATATAAACATAAGGAAAAAAAAACCCACTTAAGTCATAGCATTCATTTCAAAGTAAAACTGTAATCAATACTGGAATCATCTCCAAGCTCTGAACTCCATAAACAATGTTTTTGAGGTGGTAGATTGTAATATTTTATAACCATTATTTATCATGTCTTTTCAGAACGACAGAACCTGTAGCACTTAATCTGAAGCCTTCCTACACGGAGAGAAAAAGTATTCCTGGCCCAGTGATACTCTCTTTCCAGGCAGAATATCTAGGCTTTGAATTTCCCATAGTGGAGAACACTGATCTTTCATTTAAAAATTTTTAAATAATTTTTTTGTCACTGATCTTTTTGTAAAATTTCAAGTTGAACTGGATATTGTCACCAATCTCCTTGCACTTTAAAGCTGGAGGTAAGGGTTACTCTGGTTCATATGATTCATCACAAAAGGCAGAATTAGAGATGGGGCACCAGGTAGAACAGAAAAGCATTTCATGTCACCTACTTTCCGATCACCATTATGGTCCTGTTTCCTTTCACTTTATTATAATTGAACAAATTTCGCTGACTCAGAATCTTCCTTTACCAAGTTTAGAAAAATACATGGTGATTCACGTAGGTAAACAAAGAACTATTTTTTTTTAAAGAAGCTATTGAAACTGTGAATCTATAATAAATCCCTAGTCTTAGTGCCTAAAAACATGAAAATCATTCTTTGAATATTTCTTTTAAAGTTACTTTTCATAAGCTTAAAATACTGATTTAAATTTTTATTTTAGTCAATATTTGCCATGTTCAAAGAGGGGCTGAAACAAAAATTAAAGCCTTGGTATTCCAAACATAAAATACTGATTTTTTTTGGGGGGGGCCATACTTGGAGGTTTTCAGGGATTACTTTTTGCACTTGTTCAGGAGACCAATGCAGTCCCAAGGATCAAACCTCAGCCTCTCACAGATAAAGCATGTGTTCTTCCCACTGAACTCTCTCTCCAGTCCAATATTAAGTTTAAAAGAAATTTAAATTTTGAAACATGTTCTAAATTTGTGGCATTTATACTCTGCAGCAGCGTTCTGAAGGGCCATCATGAATATACTATATTAAAGTTTAAAAACTGCAGCACACTTTTGGGGATCCCTATATTTCACCACCTGCTTGTCACCACTGGATCACCACAACATTGGTTAGCATTCTCTTACTACACTTTACAAAGAGTGTGAAACAAAGTGCATTAAAATATATCAATACTGTGGGAATTTACTGAATATTGCTCAAGGTCAGTGACTAGAACCTTAGCTGTTTTGTTATTTTCGGCCACACCCAGCAATGCTTAGGTGTTACTTCGGGCTCTGCACTCAGGAATTACTTCTGGCAGTGCTCAGGGGACCTTATGGGGTGCTGGGAATTGAACCTGGGCCAGCCATGTGCAAGGCAAACACCCTATCTGCTGTACTATAGCTCCAGCCCTGATTCAGATCTTAGTCTTAAAGGAACCTTCCAGAAATTTGATTTAGTTCTAACCAAAATATTAAGCTGGAAAATACGTTTTAAAATGGTCCCCTTGTGGATATGCATTGTGTATGGTAAGGGTCAAGAAATTAAAGATCTAAGTATTTAATTTCTTGTAAAGTCAAATAACACATTAATATTAGAATAACCTATTAAATTCACATATCATTTAAAAAATCTACCTCTTTACTGCAATCACAATTCTAATTCCTGTTCTTTCATTTTCTTTCCAACTGCTGGAAATCGTGAACTTACATTCCGATTTGAACAGTATGCCTATTAATTTCTTTCTTTTTAAATATAAACACCAGAAAACGCCAGAAAAATCACCAGAAAACGAGAAGCACCGTTATAGTTTTCAAGAAAACTGGCAGCATAGACCCAATAGAAGTAGATCATCAGAAACTAACACTTTGTGATCCCAAACATGCTGATATGCTAATTAAATACTACTTACAAAGAATCTGAAATGTGTTACTCAGCAGCTTTTTGGCTTAAAATGATCGCCAAGAAAATTAAGCCAAACATGGCTATCTGGATAGATGTCTTGACTACAATATATACAACTATTTCATAATAAAAATTATATACACACCTTCCCATAAAATTCTGGGAAGTGAGTTAAGGTCATAGCTGTAAAAAGAATCTTTAACGCAGAGGTCAGAAACTATAGCCCATGGACCAATCCAGACTGCTTCCTAATTTTTAAGTAAATATTCATGGAAACACAACACACCCATCAGTTGACACACTACCGGTGACTAATCTCTGGCTGCAGTGGTGGAGTGAAGAAGTTGCAGCCGAGGGCGTATCATCCATAAAGCTGCAATATTTACTATTCAGCCCTTTAGAGGAAAGGTTCGTTAGTCCCTGTTATAACTGCTGGAAAAACTTTGCTGTGTTTAAATATGGAACCAGTCACCTCCACCAAACTATGTGCATATCAATGAAAGATTATAGGATTCACCCTTTTAGAAACCCTTGATTCAATAAAGCAAATAGTCAAAAAGGAAGTAAAGATATATTTGATTTAAAAAATAAATATTGCCAGTAGTGACTAGCAGCTTCAGTGACAGGGTATGCTGAAAAATCCTTCAACAATAATGCTAGACTGTCAGTTCCTACATACTAGTATTAAGAGCTGTAAAGAATCCCAGGATTTGAGGGTAATAGTGCAGTGATTCTAAAGGCATAGGCAGCAATAAGGCGAGGAGGGGAGAGAAAACTAGGAAAAACAATCATCGTTATTAGTGTCTTTAAATTCTATGAATTTAAACTACAAAATCTTAAGAAATTTCAGCACGGGTTGAGGATGTGGCTCAAAGGTGAAGTGCATGCGCACCCTCTTATGTAAGACCTGGGTTCAATTCTGGCACTGCAAAAATAAAAAAGAAATTCAGCATGGCCCCAACAGAAGTAGACAACAAATTGAAACTTTCCGTTTATAATTCCAAATACATTACTAAGCTAGTGAGTGTGCTGCAAAAAAGTGTGATGGCCAAGTGAGATTCAGCAGCTTTGTGGTAGGCTGATTGCCAGTAAGGACCAAACTATGAGGCTCAATGATAATCTTGGCAGGATGACCCCTTCAATACCTGTCAGTGCTACAGTCTGTTCCCCAGTGGCTTTAGTCATTAGAGTTTCATGTCTTGATAATACTGCATTGATTTTAAGAACATATGCAGCAATATTGAGGAAGGAGCAAGACACTAGGGAAAAAAAAGTTATATATTGTCTTTAAAATCTAAAAATTTAAGCTATTTATTAAAAAAACCTCACATAGTTTTACAGTTATCAGCCTACATAGTAAGCAAATAACTGCGGATTAGGAGCTTTTGCTTTGGAGTGGCTTTTGTAACCGCTTACATTAAAAGGACAGAAGAGTGTGTGTTGCATTGATAAGGTTCCAGTCTTTCCTACGAGCATAATCCATGCTGTCCGTCTCTTGGTCTTTCCTTTAGAAGAAAATAACATTGCTGGTTTTAGAGGAGAAGTGATATTCTCCAGTCCTTGCAGATGAAGGACCATGTTACAAACCCTTATATTTCTCCTTTAAGAGAGGACAACATTAGGTCTCTTGAGTTCGAAGTCTTTCTTTTACGTGAAAAAACTAACATTGCTGGTTTTTGAGCAGGAGAAGTGATATTCTCCAGTCCTTGGAGATGAGGGGTTCTTGATGTTATGACCCATCGTATTTCTCCCTTAAGAGAGGATGGCATTAGAGCGCTGAATCCCAATGAAATTATCAGCACTGAAAGATCTTCTCATAGCAGCTCTACATAAGTCTTTGTTTTCACATAATCTGGAAATGGCCTAGGAAAGTCAAAGAGAATAAAGGTACGTTAAAAAAAAAAAAGTCTTCCAATCGTAAAAAAAAAGAGCATTGCAATTAGTCTCATGTCTGTACTACTTTATTTTGCATAGTGGATAGATGGAAATCTATTGCAAAGGAATGAGGTTTACTCTGTTGTAGGAATATTATTTCCTGCTGGTTCACTAGAGCAATATTCTTTAAGGTCTATGACTACATTGCTAAAACAGAGGAAAATATTTAGAATTATTTAAAAATTGGAACCCCAACCATGTCAATGGTTTTCTATAGGTTCTTAATCATAATATTATCCGTTTCTTACACAATTCTTCCTTAAAACATAATGAGTTTGGGAAAAATCAGTGTTTCTCAGCTATCAGAGTCTATCCAGTCTTCAGTTATTATTATAAACTCCTCCATGCAAATTCAAACAAGACATGCATGTGCCAAACTGCACCTTCAAAAGGCAGGAGAGCGCCAATGGCTACCACAGCACCAAAAGATGCTACTTCATTTACACATTAACAAAAGTAGAAAAATGTCTTATTCTAAAGTACAACACAAGGGCCAGAGGCAGTACAAGGATTAAGGCATTTGCCCTGCATGTAGCTGACTTGATTTAATCCACAGCACTACATATTGTACTCTGCACCTCTAGGAGTGACCCCTGGGCACTACTGGGTGTGGTCCAAAAACCCAAAATAAATAAAGTACAACACCAAGGCACCACAGAAAGTGTCCATCTTAAATATGATCATTTTGGTTGTGAATAATTTTGTGGTATACTCACCAAAAACTATAGTCAAAAGTCATAAGGATTAGCTTATTTTATATAAATGTTATTATTTATATTAAAAACCCAGTACTTTTCTATCTGAAACATATATTATTTTAAAATAATAGTCAGGCCAGAGAATAGTACAGTGGGTAAGGCGTCTGCCTTACATGTTGCCCACCTCAGTTCTATCCCTGGCATCTCATATGGTCCTCCAAGCACTGCCAAGAATAACCCCTGAGCATCACTGGGTGACCCAAAAAGCAAAATAAATAAATAACAGTGTTGTTGGCAGAGCCTGGCAAGCTAGCCGTGGCGTTATTCGATATGCCAAAAACAGTAACAATGGGTCTCATTCCCCTGACCCTGAAAGAGCCTCCAATATGTTGGGAAAGACAAGTAAGGAGAGTAAGGAGAGGCTACTAAAATCTCAGGGCTGGGATGAATGGAGACCTTACTGGCGCTTGCTGGAGTAAATCGATGAAAACTGGGGTGACACTGATACAGTGAATATTGTCTCAGATTAGCTATTTATGCTGTCTCACAAACTCAGGGGTATGAATTATTAAATATATCGTACAACAAGTAGGATGCTTTGCACATGGCTGACCCAGGTTCAATCTCCAGCATCACATTTGGTTCCCCTATGCCTAGCAGGAATACCCCGTAAGCACAGAGCCAGGTGTGAGCCCTGAACACAATGAGGTATGACCCAAAAACTATTAAATCAAAAAACCCACCAATGTGGATTTAAAAACTGAGTAAAACAGTTAAGAAGTGAATGGATTATGTATATAATTAAGAATTCAATAACAAGAAATTACTCATATACGGTTATACAGAAGGGCAGAAAATTAAATAGAAAACCATTAAGAACAAATTAAATTTGTTTGATTTAGAATATTTTGGATGATGGTCACTTGAGAGTATAATTTTTTTATAATGTGGAATCTGTAAAAGACAGGAAATATGATGCCAGAGGGTTAATAATCTCTTCAATGTGTTCAAATAAAGGCATTCCATTTCGCTAATCACTGCTTAACATGATTTAACCAGTGTTGGCTGTGGTGCTGACAGTGATTCACAGCCTTACCTCGAGATTCTGTGCTCTTTCTTTGCTAAGAGGAGCAAAGAGAAAGTTCAGGTTGTTGTCATCTCCCAAAGAACGAAGGTCAAAGTAGTATTTGGCATAAACACTGGCAGGAACATTGATATTAAATTGAAGTAGCTCCAAAAAATGCCTTTCCATCTCATTCCTGAGGGAGGAGGAGACAAGAAAACCACCACAGGACAATTTTAGTTAACTGGGCTATCTTCAAAAACATCATTCTGAGCAACAAGGATGGCTGTAAAATCTGTTCTGGACCAAAGAAAGACTCCCCAGCTGGATTAACGCACTAATGGTCCAACAAGGTCCAGCTCTCGGCAGACCTTTCTGCATCCCTGCACTCGGAGTTTAGGACCGGGGTGTGTGTGTGGGGAAGGGGAGGGTGACAGCCCTCAGATGCACTCGTGCTGCTGACTCGGGGCTCATTCTTCAGAGTTCCATTAGTGCAGCTGGACGATTCATGCTCCACGCTCGCTCACAAGGCCCCACTATAGTGATCAGATGAAAGGAATGATGTATGCTGTTTATTAGCTCTGAAGAACTTGCAGACATTTTTACCGGCGGATAACAGGAAGGGGCTTATTGAAGTAGAGAAGGGCCAACAAAAGGAGTGGGCACATCACCACGGCAACAAATGGATCCATCCAGAGCCAGCGCTATTACCTCTGAGGGAGGAAAAACTCTTGAGCAACAAGGATTCATCTCCAGTAAATAAATAAAGACGCGACATTTGATGGGGAACGAAAACCCTGCCCCCACCGCAGTGCACGGGGCTATGTCAAAGGGCATAATGCAAGTTTCTTTTCTTAATTTCCTAGGGGGAGAAACTGCCATTGACAGATAGGACAGGATGCGCTTCTTATACTCTATAAGGCAGGGAGATCAAGGAGAGTCGACTGGGCTAGACTATACCTACTTTATGGTTGGGACCGCGGTAGAGCTCTGGATTCAAACCCGACTGTGCCAAGCTGGGAAAGCAACATCAGCCTACCACCCCTTGCCAAGCCCTTCTCTCTCTCTCTCTCTCTCTCTCTCTCTCCCTCTCTCTCCCTCTCTCTCTCTCTCTCTCTCTCACACACACACACACTTGCAGTTTTTTAATAGATATAAAATTAAATCTTACTACTTTCAGTTAACTCCTTTAAAAAACTCTGAGAACATATTTGGCTTCTTGTTTTTAAAGTTTTTATGTTTCTTTTCCATTGACGAGATCGAAACAAATGCATAATGTTCTCCCATATGGAGAGCAGCCAGAGTATGAGGAGATGAGGCTTTCTCATTTTGCTGAACTTTAAACCCAATAGAACCTATCAGTGAAATTAATTTCCTGCTCATATGGCTATAAGTCTATAGAAATGTAAATCAGATAATGTTTTGATAATCAGCTAATCAGGACCTAATTTGCTAAAGGAATAAATGCACTCCACCATCCCTTTTGTATTTTCTCCTGTAATACATTTTAATTGTGTAGAAATACAGTGCTTCATAGGATTAACATGTCCATTAATAGAGATTTAATCACTGAAGAAAAGCATTATGCCTACAGAATATGCATCTTCTGGGCTTTTTGTTGTTTTATAAATGACTAGATGGCTGAATAGCATACCATGTACCAGCAAAGCAAGTTTTCTAAATAGCAGCTACTCAGTTTGACATTTTTTTTTGAAGAGTAATATATATGTCTGTATATGAAATAATAAAGATACAAAGATTTTAGAAACTTTCAAGAAAAAGGTGACAGACACCCATTTTTCAACTTAGAGTCAAAATGAGGCCATTACAAATTATAGCCCAGCAGCAGGGGGTGAGACAAGTGTGTATTTACCACTTAGTTGTAATGCTTTCCAGTTTCCAAAGATTACAAACAAAAGCAGCCTATTATAAACATAGTTCCCAGTGTTTTCTGTTTGGCCACAAAAGCACTCTTTAGGACTAGTCTTGTAGATCGACACTGCCACCAATCTTTTTGGGGTGCGCATCTGTGAAAGCCACAGCTTTCCCTGCATGCTCTCGGATGTGATAACTAAGTCCCAGCCACGTTAGTTGCGGGTTTGGAGAAAACGTCAGCTGCGATCATCGTGGGGGCCAGTGTTCAATCACAAATTTTCTTTCCTTCAAGGAATCAGCTTGGGAATTTATGACAGTGATGATCAAAATCACTTGAGCATCTTCAACTTTCACACTTGTTCTCAGCCAAAAGGCCAAGAAGCGATAACAAATCTAATTTTTTATTTCATTTCTTGGTTTGGTGGGCCATACGCGGTGATGCTCAGGGGTTACTCCTGGCTCTGTACTCAGGAAATCATTTCTGGCAGTGCTTGTGGGAACCTATGAGGTGCTGGGGATTGAAGCCAGGCTGGCCGCGTGCAAGGCAGGCGCCCTCCCCGCTGTGCTATTGCTCTGGTCCCTTCAACTTCCAACAGTGTTTCTATTCAGTTCAAATTTATTATTTGCCATCACACTGTTTGCTAAAATGGATGCCAGCAACACCACCACGGCCACTGAGTTCACACCATTCTCACCAACCATTCTCACCAAAAGCCACGCTGACAGCTTTGGCATCTTCGCTTACGGGTATCCTTTTAGTAGCTGCAACCATGCGCTTTACTCATTCTAAATGAAGGTCTACATAATGGGCAACGGCAACCAACACAAACTTTTGCCTCTGTCTCCTTCCATAATTTTTTTTTCCTTTCCCATTATTTGGATTCTCCGATGCTGCTCAATATAATCAAATGTTCTTCAGTATTTTCCTAAGATGAGACTCACAAGGACAATCTCACTGTAAATCAAAGAGTTGTGAGTCTGCCGAAAATAGCCTCTTGGGCTCATTCAGGCCCTGAGCCTCCAGGGCCTTCAGAGCAGCCGGGATGGCTGGAGAAAAACCCTTGAGAAGTTTGGTGCTTTGCCACCATCAGCATGCTGCCTGCCCTCTGTACAAGCATCCTCTAACTTAACTGGAGGCCCCACAAAGTGCTGATGTGGTTGCAGATTACCTACTTCTAGATACCTACAAATTAATAGGGGAGTGCACAGGAGAGTATGGGGAGCTGAAATCTGTAGGTGTGTTACTTTTGTTTTATAGCTTCTAGAACAATAGAATATCAAATAGAAAGGAAGAAAACCTGGCAAAACCCAACATACAATGTCTGACTCCTGCAGAAGCTATAACTTCTCTCTCGATAGCCTCGAGGCCTTAAGAACATTTAAACAGTGACCAAACACTTATTTCAAGGCCAGATGTGTGCCATTTAGAAGCAGAATGGAATGGCAGCTTAAAGAAATCATGAAAATAGTTCAGATAATATGTGGTTCTGATAATGAGCTTATAAAATCACCATAAAAATAATGTTTAAATTTATCAAACAGATTATAACAACATCCGAATTAATGAAGAGTATGAATTGTTAGATCGCTGCTAATTAGAAAAAAAAAAGGTGCTTTAATGCCTATTACAGTTCTCCATACGATGTTAACTCTTAAATTTTTTTTTAAGATGTAAACCTTATGGAAGCACATGAGGTTGAGAAAATGATTAGAAAGTTCACCCAAACCTTACAAACTCACATGTCTTCAACTGTAATGTCCTTGAGGATTTGGCAGTAGTCCACGTTCCAGACAGCCTGATCATCCCAAACTTTGGAGGCAAGAAGAATGGCTCCCAAAACTATTCTTTTCCAGTTAGTGGGACAAATGTCAATCTCCGCATACGTTAAAAGCCTTTCTAAGTAAACCTGCAAAAAGTAGAACACCTCTCTTTGATTTTAGTTCAGTTTAAAGGTAAAGGCCCTCCCGTTGATCATGGATTTGCTCGAGCGGGCCCAGTAACGTCTCCATTGGAGACTTTGTTGTTACTGTGTCTGGCATATCGAATACTCTCGGTAGCTTGCCGGGCTCTCCGAGAGGGGCGGAGGAATCGAACTCGGGTCGGCCATGTTGGCCGCTTGTAAAGCAAACGCCCTACCGCTGTGCTATCGCTCCAGCCCAGTTTAAGGGCTATGAAAAGAACTCTTAGGAAAGACAAATTTCATCTGTTTTGGGCATGCTGTTTATACTTTAGATTCCACTGAGACTACCTGGGCAGCCAAAGCCGGAGTTTTAAATTAGTGTGCTTCTTTTGACTATTGTGCTGCCCGGGTGAATTCCCAGCTCAATTTTGTTTGGTTACAGGAATGAATCTCAGCAAAGGGCACCCCAAAGAGAGGTACTGTGTTATTTCAGCCCTACTCAGAAAGAGCAGCATCTCCAGGCCCAGTGTTTTCAATACCTGAACGCCTGTGTATGCGCTGGACATGGTTGGTAGTTATAGAAATGACTTCATAGAATATCTGAAACAGTTAAGTTCTTAATTATACCGAGCACATTTTTCTTTCCTTTTCTCAGAAACTAGAGGTAGGAGCTTGAACTAAATAACTGGTGGACAAGAGCGCCTCCCAGTGGTTGATGTGGAGTACAGCAGGACACACAGTACAGATGGGGGCGCTGGAGGCCTGTGGTTCCAAAGGACTCAGTCAAATGCCCCCATTTCTAGTGCCTTTTTAAGGAACACACACACATACAAAGTTCTCCCCATATTCCCTGGTTTTCACTTCTCTATGGTCATTTCATAAGAATTCCTTTGTGAAATAGATAATCTGCAAACACTGAGCTGCATGCAAGTGTGGGACTCCTCTAAACTGGCCAGGCAGCTTCTGAGGTAGTTTCTTGATTTCTCTTACGTTCAATTAAACGTCAAGTATTCTTTGAAAACTACGTTCTGACAAAGAAAAAGAATTTGAACAAATCTTCATTTATCAGAATAGCATAAGGCTTACATGGTCTCTGAAATTTAACTGTTTCCAAAAAAAAAAAATAATAATTACTGCACATGATACATTCCTAGTGAAATTCTGCTCTCAGTCTCCAGTCTCTGTGCTCCCAGGCATCCTGAAAGCAAACCTTTCTATGCAGTCTAACTGTTATTGTATGGGACTCATTAGAGGGATTCCTACCACAAACTGGGGGTGCGTATCAATATGGACTGAGGCTCAGGCAATCACACCACCTTCCTCTGCTGTCGGCTCAACTGGCCATCTTCTCACTGAAGCTGACTCTTCTCTCAGTGAAGCCAACTCGTCCCACCACTGCAGAATACTGCTCCAGCAACGATCTTTCTGGACACTTCCCCCCTCCCTGACAGAGACTCCCCCCACCACGGAAGTGTTCCCATGGTTCCTCCGGCACCCCCTCTCCGCCCCGGAGCGCTTCCTCTCACTCTGCTCACAGTGATGCTGCTTTTTCATCTTACACGGAGGCCCCCATGTCCCTGGCTGCTCTGTGCCACTGAAACCCTCCCAAGGTCTTCGTCACCTCTGCACATAGCCGGCAGAGCTCTTCACCCCAGCTCTCCATCCCCAGGCCTCGCCAAATCACATACAGGGTACTGCCTTGCCCGAGCGGCTGGACCCCACTTCCATCCACTGGCAATTGGGCTCTCCCTCAATCTTCACTGGGAACGTGCTTTCTCGCCTAGACTGGCCTTTGTCACTGGGTGCAGGATCACTGTCACCAGCTGCTCTGCTCCAGTCTCCTGGAAGCAGCCAGGGGAGGGCGGTATTGAAGGGAAAGCACTTCCCACTCTTCTGCTCAAGACTGACCAAAGGTTCCCTTTAAAACAAATGTTGAAGCTGACTTTTTTCCTTCTTCCATAGCCTGCAAGCTATCTCCTCCTGCAGCCTGCGCCCTTTGCTCCTGTCCTCATTCCACACTCTCTGACCACACAGCCTGTCCCGGTCCTAGATTACGGAGCCAGGGTCTGTAACTGTCCCAACTGCCTCTATAGGTTCCCTCTACAGGTTACCTCTTAAAATAGCTTTTTCCTGATCATTCTCTCAAAAAAGCAACGGATCACGGTCACGGATCATGGTCCACCCGTTGTTCATCGATTTGCTCGAGCGGGCCCAGTAACGTCTCTATCATGAGACTTGTTGTTACTGTGTTTCGACCCCTACACTCTGCCTCATCTTCGAGGCATTTACCACTACTTAAAAACGCATTAAAAAAAATCACATCTCTCTTACTAGAACATAAATTTTATTGGACAAGAACTTTATTCAACATGTTCTCTCCTCTAGCCCCAGAGTCAGAATAGTGACGCAGTGGATTCAGTGGGGACTTATGGCATGAACAATTTCTTGCAGCAGCTCGTACTGTGACCATATTCTCTACCCTAAACCGCTTACCTTGGCTTCTCACTCTTCTGTCTGATGCTTTTCCTACCACTTTCCAGCTACGTCTCCCTTATATGCTGGTAGCCCAGCTCAATCTCCTATCCATTATTTATTCTACACACCTTTTCCCGATTCATTCTCTATATCTAACTCAGATTCGTGAGCTCCAAATTCCATACAGTCAAGTGAGTACTAGACACTGCCAGTTTACAGTCTCACAGGTACAGGTTTCTCCTGAAATCCAAAAGTAGAACATTCCTATTTGGTATGATTTAGTATGCTGGTCTTTGTGGGGGGGGGGTGGGTGGTGGTGGAAGAGGGGGTGTCTGGAAACATGCAAACATTTTTTCCCATAAAAATGAATAGTAATAATGTTTCAGACTCCAAAAATTACTTTTGAAATATACGGGAAACCTGTACCATCCAAACTTATTACTCTGTCTACATAGAATTTGATCTTGCCAGCCTGATGCTCTCTTTCCTGCATTCTTTAATGCTCTGCATGGAAGGCCGCTTCTGCCTCTCTCCCCAGGCTCTGAGCACCCATATGGTTGGCAGTCCCTGTGAAGGCCTGGGGTCTGAAGTGCTCAGAAAGGGTCCTTGTCTCTGGAATCCTAAGAGGTTACTACAAGGATAGACACTGGCCTCAGTATTCTTTCCCTCCAGACCATGCATTTGGCTTTCCCCCTCTAGGTTTATTTAAGGGGAAATTTAAAAAATATATATGCAAAAAACAAATCACCTCATTTGACCAGAATTTATTACTGAAACTGATAAAAATTTTACCATAGGAATTCTGTATGAATAACACAGAGGGTCTTAAAGAGGCAGCTTAGCAGGCTAGCTGGAAAATCTTTCAAGCACTACTGGCACTAGAAATAATCCTGGGCCACTCCCCGCACGGGCACAAGAGTACGGCAAAGATAGAGTAACCTCTGCCAATCAAGGAACAGAGAGTTTAGGACATATGTAAGAATTCTCTGGGAGCAAGGCTGAACCAAGAAGACCTGGAATACCTGAACAGACCTATCACCATCAAGGAAATTGAAATGGTAATAAAAAGTCTCCCCAAGCACAAAAGTCCTGGCCCGGATGGATTCACTAGTGAATTCTTCCAAATCTTTAAAGAGGACTTACTCCCGATGCTCTTTAAGCTTTTCCACGAAATTGAAATATCAAAAACACTTCCGAACAGTTTCTACGAAGCAAATATCACACTGATACCAAAAGCAGACAGAGATACCACAAAGAAAGAGAATTACAGGCCGATATCCCTGATGAAGACAGATGCAAAGATCCTCAACAAACTACTAGCAAATAGAATCCAACTACTCATCAAAAAGATCATACACCATGACCAAGTAGGATTCATCCCAGGGATGCAAGGATGGTTTAACATTCGGAAATCGATCAACATAATCCACCATATCAACAAAAGAAAAGATAAAAAGCATATGATCATATCAATAGATGCAGAGAAAGCATTTGATAAGATCCAGCACCCCTTTATGATGAAAACCCTAGCCAAAATGGGTATAGAGGGGACCTTCCTCAACATAATTAAAGCCATCTACCACAAGCCTACAGCAAGCATCATCCTCAATGGGGAAAAACTGAGAGCCTTCCCTCTAAGATCAGGGACGAGACAAGGATGCCCACTCTCTCCACTGCTGTTCAATATAGTACTGGAAGTACTTGCAATAGCGATTAGGCAGGAAAAAGATATTAAGGGCATTCAGGTAGGAAAGGAAGAAATCAAGCTCTCACTATTCGCAGATGATATGATACTCTACTTAGAGAACCCAATAACTTCCACCAAAAAACTCCTAGAAACAATAGACTCGTATAGTAAAGTTGCAGGTTATAAAATCAATACCCAAAAGTCCATGGCTTTCCTATACGCAAACAGTGAGAGAGAAGAAAGCAACATGAAAAAAACAATCCCGTTCACAATTGTGCCCCAGAAAATCAAGTACCTAGGAATCAGCTTAACTAAGGAAGTAAAGGACCTGTACAAAGAAAACTACAAAACGCTACTTCAGGAAATAAAAGAGGACATGAGGAAATGGAAAGATATCCCCTGCTCATGGGTCGGGAGACTTAACATTGTCAAAATGGCAATACTACCAAAAGCATTGTATAAATTCAATGCAATCCCTATAAGGATACCCATGACATTCTTCAAAGAAATGGAGCAAACACTCCTGAAATTTATATGGAACAATAAGCCCCCACGAATAGCTAAAGCAATTCTTGGGAAAAGGAAAATGGGAGGAATCAACCTCCCTAACTTCAAACTGTACTACAAAGCAGTAATAATTAAAACAGCATGGTACTGGAACAAAGGCAGAACTGCAGACCAATGGAACAGGGTTGAATACACTGACATCTCTCCTCAATCATATGCTCATCTAATCTTTGATAAAGGTGCAAGTAATGTGAAGTGGAGTAAGGAAAGCCTCTTTAATAAATTGTGTTGGCATCACTGGATGGCTACATGCAAAAAAATAGGCTCAGAACTCTGCCTAACACCATGTACAAAAGTAAGATCAAAATGGATTAAAGACCTCAACATCAGACCAGAAACCATAAGGTACATTGAAGATAAAGTTGGCAAAACCCTCCATGACATTGAAGCTAATGGTATCTTCAAAGATGCCACACCACTGGCCGAGCAAGTGAAAACAGATATAGATAAATGGGACTATCTTAAACTAAGAAGCTTCTGCACCTCCAAAGAAACAGTGACCAAAATACAAAGACAGTCTACAGAATGGGAAAGGATATTCACCGAATACACATCTGACAAGGGGTTGATATCCAGGATATACAAAATACTGGTTAAACTCCACAAGAAGAAAACATCCAACCCCATCCAAAAATGGGGCAATGAAATGAACAGAAACTTTCTCAAAGAAGAAATCCGAATGGCAAAAAAGCACATGAGAAAATGCTCTACATCATTAATCATCAGGGAGATGCAGATCAAAACCACAATGAGATACCATCTCACACCTCAGAGACTAGCCCACATTCAAAAGAACAAAAGCAACCGATGCTGGCGTGGATGTGGCGAGAAAGGGACACTCCTTCACTGTTGGTGGGAATGTCCACTGGTTCAGCCCTTCTGGAAAACAGTATGGTCGATTCTCAAAAAATTAGAAATTGAGCTCCCATTTGACCCAGCAATACCACTCCTGGGAATATATCCCAGAGAGGCAAAAATGTATAGTCGAAGTGACATCTGCACTTGTTTGTTCATTGCAGCACTCTTTACAATAGCCAGAAACTGGAAGAAACCTGAGTGCCCAAGAACAGATGACTGGTTAAAGAAACTTTGGTACATCTACACAATGGAGTACTATGTAGCTCTTAGAAAAGATGAAGTCATGAAATTTACATACAAGTGGTACAATATGGAAAGTATCATGCTAAGCGAAATGAGTCAGAAAGAGAGGGATAGACATAGAAAGATTGCATTCATCTGGGGGATATAAAGTAACAAAGTATGAGATTAATACCCAAGAATAGCTGAGATCAGCACCAGGAGGATTACTCCATAACTTAGAGGCCAGCCGGGTATCCTAGAGGAAAGGGCAGTTCAGATAGAGAAGGGAGCACCAAATAAAGGATGTTTGGAGGATCCTCCCAGGAGGGGAGATGCATGTCGAAAGTAGACTATGGACTGAACATGTTTGCCACTCAATGCCTCTTTTGCAGACCACAACACCCAAAAGGAGAGAGAGAACACAGGGGATTGCCCTGCCACAGAGACAGGGGGGATGGGGGGATGGGGGTGGGAGGGATATTATCCATGGTGGTGGAAAATGGGCACTGGTGGAGGGATGGGTATCTGATCATTGTATAATTGAAACCAAAGCACAAAAAATTGTAAATCTACAACTTTAAAAAAAAATAAAATACAATAAAGGGGAAAAAAATAGTTGAAAGATACAGTAATATCTAATGAAATAAATGCAACAAATTTATAAGCTAAAAAAAATTCTCTGGGAGCACGGCCCAGTCTCGGCTCATGCCCTCTGCTCCCCTGGGCCAGATGGCTTGTGACCATCCCCTCCTAACCAAACAGCAGAACCTGGATGCATGTATGTGTGTGCACCGTGTGTGCATGCATATCCTGAGATGTGAAGAGAGAAACCCAAAGTCTCACTTACTACCTTTAACAGCAATTGTTTTTTCATGAAAAAAAAAAAAAGTAATGGCAACACGTAAACTCATAATGATTTTTTAAAAAAAATTTTCCTGGAGATTTTGTACTACTCCTGGTGGTGACTCAGGACCTACTCCCAATTCCATGCTTGAGAATCACTCATGGCAGTGCTCAGGAACTGACCTGGGGTGGACCATGTATGCAAGGCAAGCACCTTATCTTAACCCCTTCACTATCTTCTGCCCCACAATGATGAAGTCTTAATGCAAATTCCACTTTGATAATTTTTTCTTAATGCAATTCCAGTTATCCTTTCAGGAAATTACTTTTTTTTTGGGGGGGGGGTCACACCCAGCGATGCACAGGGGTTACTCCTGGCTCTGCACTCAGGAATTACTCCTGGCGGTGCTCAGGGGACCATATGGGATGCTGGGGATCGAACCCGGGTCGGCCATGTGCAAGGCAAACGCCCTACCCGCTGTGCTATCGCTCCAGCCCCTCAGGAACTTACTTTTATTTGAACAATAGAACCATATCCTGCGTAAGGGCAGGAATTTCTAAAGATGTTGTTTAAGAAAAGAAAATCTTACCAAAGTCACTATTGCACATTCAGCGGTTAGCTGTGCAGCACTAAAAAGAGTACGAACAAATCTGTAAATAAATTTGTGCTCAGGGTCATGCTTAAAGTATTCCTCTGGAACCTTTTCTTGCTGAAAGAAGAATAAACATTATAAATACGCATTGAATAGAAACACAAGAACTCTAAAGATAGCAGTTTTCACACATGTACCCACATTCCCCTTAAAAACTAATTTTTCTTGGGTGATACATCTTTTAGTCTTTTAAATATAAATGGGAATCTTAAAATACCATAATGATTCACGCCAGGGATGGAGCCCAGCGACAGAGTGCATATCCCTCATGGAAGACACATGGCTAACTGATCCTTGGCACCACAAAAATGAAATCAAAGAACAACCCCCCAGAGATTCAATACCAACCACCACTCATGGCAGAAAAATAGAGGCAAAAACCTCAGAAAATTTATGCATGTTCCTTTCCATCTCTCTGCCTTCTAGAATTCTATCCAAATGTAAATTATTTTTAGGCTCAAAATCGTGTTGATTACCATGTGTCACACTTTTCTATAATTGACTCTGAAAACCATTTCAGTTTCCTGGACCACAAAACACTGCTTGTCCCCCTCAGGAATCAGCAGCCACATGTAGATACAGAGAACCTGAAAATGTGCAAACACTGTCAGGATTGAGTGAAAATATGGTTTTCTGAATTCTTTTTCATAGAGGTTTTAACATCTGAATTTAAAAAAAAAATTTCTACTTGGTTACATTTTAGCTTAGCTCAAGACCCAATACCGTTCTTACTGTTATATCCCTTATATAACACTTTTTATAAAATGATTGGATCATTTAAAGGAAGATGATTCAGACTTCAAGCTGGAGAGAGTAATTTTCTCCTAGTAATTAATCTCAAAGTCAATCAACATGCAGTAAACCAACTACAACTTTAATACAACTGACACTTACTGTGAGTGGATGTGATCTCTCATCAAAAATATCCAAGGATCTATTTGCATCTCTATAAAATAAGAATGCATTAAAAAAATCAGTAAAAGTTCTCAATTCAGGAAAAGTTCTCTTAGTGTACTATCTCCTGGAAGTAGAGTAGGTTATGAAGGGGTCAAGCCCGATTTTCAACAAAGCAGTTTAACATTTCTTTTGCATTCTGGTCTAATGACGATTACTCCCACTGTAACCCTCAGCAGTCACCACGGCGATGCTGGAGGGGACCCTGCTGGGGGCAGACACGGTCTCCATCATGTGAGGCGCGTGCTTCAGTCCTTTGAGCCTTATCCTCCCTGACCTCCTTCCACTCAGCACATTAACTTTTGTGAAATGGTTTCTAGAACGAGTCATCAGAGTTGCCTTGTCAACCATGATCCTCCCCCTCTCAGGCACCACCAGTAAATCAAGTACATTTTCGCTTGTCTAAAATCACAGTGGAACACAAGAATATTTTATGAAGCAGTAATGGTGGGCAGGAAAGCCTTAGAAGCTTTAATGAATATGAAGAGGAGAATCATTTTTCCTTTGGCTCTCTGTCAACCACTTATCATGCATGCTAATTTTAAATAGTTTGTATTAAAAACAGAATTGTCTTTATTTTCAAAGCCATCGGGCCTTTGTTTTAAAGCTCCCCCGCACGAACACATTCTGTTCACTTACATAAGCACACTACTTTTCCAGTAGGATGGTCTGTGGGTCTCTGGAATTCTCCTGAACCTTCCTCAGGAGAACTCTGAGGTCAAAACTACTCTTACGGGAATGCAAAGACAGGCTCTGCCTTTGGCACTGTTTTGAGATGTGCGGTCATTCTTAGGAGCAAATGCAGGGCTCGCTGCCGGCTGGAGCATGAAGCTAGGCAGCGGGACTCAACTGCACTGTTAGTCTCCCTACTCTGCACTGTCACCGTGTGTATGTAAGAAGCCTTTCTGCTCTACTTAAGAAGTCCTGGATAAAGCAATAAAAAGAATAGTGTCGTTAAACCCTGAGCCTCCTTTTAGATTTTTGGAAAGGGTAAATAGGAAGTAGACACTAAGCATTTCTGCATACTGCAGCATCACTGTGTTAAGAGAAAAACGCTGTGATTCAGCCACTTTTCCAACCTTCTACTCTGGGCTTTATAGCGTCATGATACTTAAAAAAAAGTTTTCTAATAAGATTGGTGTTGATAGCAATAATGTTCTTAATAATGTATGAAGAAATGTGAACCAAATGACCAATGCATATTATAAAATCAAATATTGGTACAAGACCCATGCAGTATTTAAGATCTATCAGTGGTTATTAATTAATTTACTACAAATTCATTAATAGGACTTAAAATACCATTGACATTCACGGAGAAACTTTTGGTACAGTATCAGAATATCAAGGATTATCTTTGAAGGTTTTAAAATTACCCTTTTCCCCAAAGATACTTGCATAAGACATGACATCATGTTATTTCCAGAGTAATCACTGAGGAGATTGCAAATGACAACAGAGTAGATACAATTATCAGCTTTCTTCCATTAAGTCAGATCTTAAAGAAACCCTTTTCCTGCAAATAATGGGTAATTTTTAAATTCTCAATTTAAATTTCTAATACAGTAGTTGTCAACATAATTTCTGTAAACATACTGTTGGGGATATTCAATAACTCGAGTTGTAAAACAAACCAAAAAGAGATTTACAATTCAGTATTGTAATAAAAGCACCATTAATACCTAACACTAAACTGGTTATCTCGCAAATTAATGAGCTAGAATAACAAGACAGGTTTAAAAAGTGCTCACCTGTTCTTTATGTGGTAATATATTGCTAAGGTCACACTGTGGAGGAAAAAAGAAAAGTTTGTAACAATTCATTTTATCATGTTCGTCCTGAAGATATTTTTTAAAAGGGTTAGAGGAAAGGGATGGAAGACCTCCCAGCAGCCCTGAAAATCTATAATTCAAAGTCCACATGGGTGCTGCTTTGGGTTTGATTTTTTGGTTTCTGGCCAAAAGAGAAGACCCCAAATGTTAGGTGATATGCTATCTGAAGATTTGGTTGGTTAACATAATCTATGAATTATTTATTTCCTTTGTCATCTGTATTTCTACCTACAGTACCGTTCATCCTGTACAGCATACCTAATTGTACACATGCACAAATTGAAACAGGAAAACAGTTTCATGCTTGCTTTTATAAGAGCTGTGTAGACTCAATTCTTTCATTAGCTTTAATTTCACTATCCATATACTTACCAATTCCCATTATTTCCCCAAAAATAAATTGCAGAAGTGTTCTACATATACCCAAAAAAGGTAATCCACAATCAATTTTATGTATGAGAAAATTTAATAGTAAATATAAGTATCCACAACATCAAGTGTCTACTATTATGATATACTATGAATATAATATACAATATGTCTAATATTTCTACCCTGAAATAAAAGCAGTGCAAAGAATGCATCAGAATAACACTAGTATGCTAATGGCAGGAATTTTCAAATTAGAGGGTATGTTAATGAACAGATATAAGTCCTCATTCTCTACATTACCAAATTCCTACATTATTCAGAGATATTACTATACAGATGTTGCAACAAAGGAGTTCTGTTGATTAAGTTATGCAGCTGTTCTTTACCTTCAGACTCTAAGAGAAAGCTCAAAATAATTGAGGGAAGGCAAATCTGAATTTATAAGTAGGTTTACAGGCTACTAGCACACGTAATAAAGCCTTTATGTTATTAGCATAAAGATGGATACTTCTATAGTGCTTCAGTTTCATCTTCAAATTGATCTAAAGTCATAAAATTTAAAGCTATAATCTGAAAATAACTTCTGGCCCTTAAGTAACATTTAATTCAGCAACCAAATTTACAGGTAAGGGATGCTGAACTTCAGAGTGACTCGCTCAAATCCCACCCAGAATCAGAGCAGTTCTTTCTCTCTCAGCGGCCTCAGCAAGGCTGTGCACTGCCCTCACCTAAGGGGCTGTCAAAACTGCTAGTTTCTACCAGAGACAGGTAGCATCTCCACCTGAGATGTTCACAACTGAAGCAGTATCAGACCGACCACTTGGGGCGCAGCACTGTTTTTAAAGCCCCCTAAGGGGTTTCACTGTGCAGCAAAGTTTGCGATGAGTGAGCTAGGGTTATGATCAGATATACCCAAGATGCTCTGGACATAAAATCATGCCCTACCATCTTCCTCCACTTACCAAACAGAATGCATGTGCTCAAAGATGTTTTGGAAAAAGTTGCCGAGATGATTTTAATAAGCCACCCACCCTACTGAGAACAACAGACCACTACTCCAAAATAAACACTTTCCACAATCACTCCTGAAAGCCCATCTGTCCTATTAATCTTTTCAGCAACATTTTATTTCACCAGAAGTAAATGCACCAAATAATCATTTTTAAAACTATTCGAGCAAAGTCAAATTTATTGTACTGCCAAAAATTAGGCTAACTTGGGGGTTGGGGGGGAATGAACTACTTGTCTGAGCATGATTAATGTAGTTGGAAAGTAACTACATTTGAATTTTATACTGAAACAACAGTATCTGTCTCTTTTTCCTTTGGCTTTTGAATCACACCTGGCAGTGCTCAGGGCTTACTCCTGGCTCTGTGCTGACAAATCACTTCTGGCAGTGCTTGGGGACCATATGCAGTGCCAAGTCAACCACAAACAAGGCAAGTATCTCTCCAGCCCCCAAACATATAAAATAAATTGGGGATACTGGCAAAGTGGAATAGTGTTTTTTAACCCATGGATTTAGTGTCTTAGCTGAATAAAAATATTCAAATTAAAAATAAAAGTACAGGGACAGGATAGACAGTGCATGGATTAAAGTTTTTGTCTCACATGTAGCCAACTCTGGTTTGATCCCTGATACTGCATATACTCCCCCGAACACCACCAAGAGTGATTCTTGAGCACAAAGCCAGGAATAGCCCCTGAGCACCACTGGGTCTGGCTCATAAAACAAACAAAAGTATCTATTACTTGAAAGGTGCCAAATCTAAGGACTTCAGAGAGTTGGGGCTCAGTTTTGGCTAAAACACATTTTGTCCTAGCGCCGTGTAATCCCATCAACGGCCAAGACTCAGAGACTATAAAATCCAGCTCCTGGAACCGCAGGGCCGCATTCGTGGCCGCACGACATCTTATCAGGACATCTTTTTATGACATCTTATTATCTCATTCCTACTTTGGACAAACTTGCAGGCTATCGAATGTAGCCTGCCCACAGGGCAGAGTCTGGCAAACTCCCCATGGCGTACCAAATATGCCAAATACCAGTAACAATGATGGGTCTCATTCTCCTAAAGAGTCTCAGGGCTACGATGAAAGAGACGTTACTGGGGCCTGCTCGAGGCAATCGACGAATAACAGGATGATGAATGTTCTAAGTGACAGAGAAATGATTCATTATAAGATGGTGAGTTTGCTCTTTTTAGAGGTTATTGTCTTTAATTAAAGGTCTTTCTTTAAGAAAGAAAAAAAGGTGACACATTAGAAACAAAATTAAGCTGATTAAAGTTTAAGACTGAAAAAGTAAATTAAGGGTTAAGGACACTGATATGTTCAAGTGGCACTTTCCAAATTCTGCACTGGGAAACACCGGTATTGCAAGGAGACGTTGGTAATGCTCCGTGGGCAGTCCAAATACATCAGGAAGCTCAGCATTTTGCTCTCTCTCTTCTCCGCTCTCTCCCTTAAATCAGTCCGAAAGGCATTCTTAGGGTGTTCTGTTTAGTTTGGGGTTTCTTTTAGAGCACACCTTTTTTAATGCCTGAGAGCCACTCCTGGTGGTGTTTGGGGATGTAACCTGAAGCTCCCACCTAGAAAGCATGAGCTGTCTCCCCAACCCTACCATATTCTGAAAGTGCGTTCGCAACTGTAGATTAAGGAATTTAAGGAACATGTTTGCCCTACCAGGGCTGTTTCCATAACGTCATTTTCCCCTTTTCTCCTCTATGTCTTTCTTATATACGATGAACTGGCATCCTTTCTGGGAGCTGTATACACATGCCTACATAAAATTTAAACATTTATCAACTAAAACCCCAGCTGAACACATTTCATACATAAAGAAATAAATTAAGTACAAAAATTTGTTCCTTAAAACTATCTTATCAATTCGCCACCATCTTTGAAGGATAGGAAGAAGTGAACTTTTCTGTATGAAAAGTTTCTTTTCATACAGAAACAGTAAGGAAGGGTGGTGGGGGAGTACATAATGAAAATCTGTCAAAATCCAATGAAAATGAAAGATATTAAAGATATATATATATATCTTTATAAAGATATATATATAAAGATATATATATATCTCAAAGAAAATGTGCAGATGCATTCTGGTGCCAGTAGGGGACATGCTGTTCCTTCATTCAAGAGTAGCTTCCCAAGTAGCAGTCATTGTGTAAGACCTATAGCATAGAATTTTCTAATTCCCACCCCCCCACCCAAAATACAATACATTCAACTAAAAGCACCTCTTTCCTCAGCATGGTCAATAATATCTTAATATCAGAAATGCACCAAAAATGAGGTATACTCTTCCAGGGATTTCTTATTTGCTAACTGGCTTTTCCTTCCACCATGCACTCTAAGATTAAAATGGAAACTAAAAATTCATATTTAGGTCCTTGAAATCAATATAGAGTTGCCACCAGTTTCTAATCCCTGATCACTGGAAAGGACAATCAAAATAACTAAAATGACCAAGTACATCTAGGATATTTTTAGCATCAGGGGTCTGTCACTCAGCCTTTGGCAACCTAGTTGTACTCACCATTTTATTGTGGTTCTAAGATTAGGCTGGCTGACTGTGCTGTCATCTAGAAATATTGTTGAGCATGAGCTATACTTTTTAGTTAGCTGCCCTGGAGATACCTGAAGGGGAAGGGAAATAGAAGAAGTCACAGTAAGTTAAACCTATAAAAGTGTGTTTTTTCCTTGGTTAAAATGTCAAACGTTAAAGCATTAAGATTTTTCTTACGCTCCATGAAATGCTGTGTGAGATCAGGTGCAGCTCTACGGGAAATCCAAAGTATAATGAGATATAAAATGCTGCCCTGGATACAGCAGCTATAATCAAACCTAGGTATAATAAACTCCCTTTATAACACTTTAAGTTTAGAAGACTGGTTTTTACGTAAGCAATAAAATGTTCTATTCTTGGTATTCAATTACAATAAAGCATGATGCTTTACATAAGATACTGACACAAGAGCATTTTGTTGCAGTGAAGGAAAGCCAGTAAATCACATTACTAGTTAAGAAGAGAGTGAGACACATGACCCTAGCCACGCCACAGGCCTGTATGGCAGGGTGCTCAAGAATGAAACCAGCGGGGGAGGCAGAGGTCTCAAGATAACAGAGGGTCATTTTAAGATTCTCATATCAAAAAGACTTAAAACACTGGGAAACTTAACTTTCACTTCACGTTTAAAGATTATTAATCAAGTGAGGACCACATAGGATACTTCCAAATCATTTATAGTACATTTTATTAATACTATTCTACAAGCTATTGGACTTTCATGATGGTATTTTCCTGTCCCACTCAAGCTGCCATTTTCTGCCTATAAAGCCTTTTTCTTCCTCCTTGCCTCAGCAAGCTTCCTTTTCAACAACCTCGAAAATGCTTTTGCCAGTAGCACAATCCCCTCCCTTTCTGCACTCTTGCAGACTGACTAATTGGTGACATGATACTAAGCTGCTCGCAGGGTATCCCTCCTAACAGAGTGAGCTTCTGGGAGAGGAAGGGAGGTCTGACCCCTAACTCCAGTAGCTGTGCACAAAAGCTGGAACAAATCATGAGTACAAAAGGGTTTCACAAATTACTTATCAGTTCCACTGGAGAGGTAAATCTTGCCACACACAGATTCATGAGATTTTATTTGCCGTGGTACTAGAGAGGTGACAAGGAACTTTATGAGTCCCTCTAGAGAATACACTCTCTTTAACACTTTAGAAGTATCCACTTATTTGTGAAAGTCCAAGAATGCAACCATTGCCAAATGCTGAAATAGCCTTAACTCTGGTAGGATAATTCTCTCCCAGTAAATGTCTGACAAACAAATTCAAGTCATTGTAAAAAGTCAAAATAATAACATTCAACTTTAAAGAATACCAAATTTAGTGTTTTTGTTTTTTTAAAAAACAAATTCAGATAAGCCTTCCTTCCTATTAATATAAAACAGTTTCATCAAGCTATTACTCTCCCATTAGTGTCTCCTACATAAAATGGGGTAGGGAAAAATCTAGTTGATACTTTCTGAAATCCAGAGCAGTAAAATCCAGACGCCAGTTATCAAATATCCCATGTGGTATTTGATTGTTTCAGATGTTTTACTGTGAAGTCACTAATTCTAGAACATCATCTTGTTTAAAAAAGTTTCATACTACTTAGAGAACTAAATTATACCTGAAGTTGAAAATTATTTTAATTTTATCTAAAACTCTGATATGCTCCTACATAGTTCAGGTGATGCTTAATTTACTCCAGAATTTTTAAAAAATTCAGCATAAAAAAATTACTTTATTCAATACCTTTATTCTAAATGGATAAAGGCTGTCTCCTAAGGTCACTACAATGTTAGGGTATAATATGACACAATATGTTAGGGTATAATATGACATATACTAAACCAAAAAATCAATTCTATCAAAAGCCCATAAAATGGGAAAACTAAAAAATTAGGAAGGAAACTATAAAATATAGACTAACTGGCAGGACATTAATATTTGCTTCCATTTTCAATTTAAAATGTTTGAGTGTATATTGGATAAATCTTTGGAAATATTAAAGCATTAAAAAGTGTCAATTAGATATGGTCTTACTATGGGCACTACCTTAGTGAATAAACTACTTAAAGCCTACTGGTCAGATCCAAAAAAAGGGACTCCCTAAGTCCACCCTACCCTCAACATTTCAAACTTTTTGGTGTCAAGAATCTTCATTTCATCAGAAGGTAACAAACAGACACCTTCCAGCAGGTTCCTTTTCCCTCATCTTGCTTGAAAACTTAAGACGGCAATCTATAATTAAAACTGAAATTGCTGGCTCACTGCCTCAGTTAATTATACCAAACAAAGTATGAAATGCAAATACTTAATCCAAAAAACAATTTTAAAAAACCAATATCAACTGTATAGTTCTAATAGAAATCATTTCAGTTAGTCATTACATCAGACAATATTTAACTTTATTAATTCAGCACTAATGAAAAACTAAATGCATGTTTATAATCTTGAGAAAAGGGAGTTATTTAGCAACTTAGTTACAATGACAAAGCTTTGAAAATAATCGTACCTGAAAGTCTTTTTAAGTCACAACACAAACATCATCAAAGGTAGAAATCCTGTGCCATTCACTGATTTTTCCTATTTTGCCTATTATACTTTTATTTTAATTCACTAACAGAATGCTTTTCTCTGCTCTTTTACACAAGCCAAGTTTTGCCTGTTTCCCAACAATTAGCAGTTTATAGTAACTAACTAAAAAGTTTCAAAGACTTTACACATTAATGAAAAACTACTTGTGTTGCACAATAATGGAACAATATGCTAAGATTATGGTTTGAACAAAATTCTTTTGGGTGTGAGGGAATGATTTCCTGGAGCTATTCCAGGCTCTGTGCTTATGAAAGACCCCTGGCAGTGTCTGAGGGACCATCCGCAGTGCTGGGGATAGAAATGGCTTCACATGCACGCAAGGCTAGTGCCTTAAGCCCAATACTATCTTGCTGGCCATTAAGGGAATTCTGAATCAAGGTCTGGTAGGAAAAGGAAAAACACCAATTAAAACCAAAAATACTATTTGAATCTTAATATACTGAATTAAAACTTTTATATTTAAACTTTCAATATAGGTTCTAAGTTTGAGTAAATATGGTAGACTGCAAGTATTTCCTCTCTGTCTTTCCAAGACTATTATCATGTTAAAAATAGACATTTTTACGAAGAAAAACTCACTGGAACAGAGATTCTTATACTTTTCTCACTTGTAACCCCTTTTCTACTGGAGAAATGCAACATGGGCCAAAAACACCTCAGAGCCATTACATGACAAATTTCTGAATTTTGTTGTTTGTTTGGAGGACACACCCTGCAATGCTCAGGGATTAGTCCTGGTTCTTCATTTAGGAATTACTCCTACCAGGGATTGAACCCGGGTGGACTGAGCTCAAAGCCAATGCCACATCCTCCTCAGATTATATTGTCCCTAAATAAAACTACTTCCCTAAAAATAATTTTAAAAGGTGAAGATAAAAAAAAAAAGAAGGTAGTTTTTAATGTTTGAAAAGACTCTAAAGGTTTTGACAGTGACACAGAAGAACAGAAGAAGCTGATCTACAGATCTTGGTGACTCGGACAGGACCAAGGAAGCCAGAGCATCCTTCAGAACCAAAGGCAGGTTCTGAACGCAGAAAGCAGAAGTGTGGTCCTAAATCCTTGCCATGAGGCACAACAACTTAACAATTCTGCTTACTCACAGTGCTTCACTCAGCTTTTAAGAGACAGCCAGGGCCCTTCACACAAGAGGGAAGCCTCCAATAAGAGAGTGGCATCAAAGCAGGAAAAAGGGAATGACGCGGGTGGTAAAAATCTGAAGCAAATGAAAACCAAAAATTTCTTAAACTCCCTCAGAAAGAAGAGGAACTACATCAGCGAAATAATTAAATACTATTAAAAAAAAGAATGATACCTCTCTAAATTAAAAATAAGACGAAAGAGAGGATAAAGTCAATGAAATCCCAGGAAGCAGAACAAAAGAACAGAAGGGAGGAAACTGTGAATTCCAGGCAGGATTCAGTCAGGGCAGTGCTTCCCAAAGTGGATGGTACCCTGCCCCCCCAGGTGGTGCTGGAACAATCCAGGGGGTGGTGGGATCTCAGGTGCAACTGGGAGCACTTGGTAATCTCAAAGGATGGAGATTTTTAGCAGTGGTAAAGGAATGCAGTTTCAGAAAACCTTTTTTCCTGAAAAGGGGTCAGTAGGTCAAATATGTTTGGGACCCTCCTCTCTTAAGAAGCCCAACATGCTAAAAATAGGAATAGTGGGGAGTGTGGGGGCAGGAGGACAGAGAAAACATAAAAGAAAAAAAAAATCTCACAGGGAAGAGAGATCCTCTACTCCAATAAGACTGAAACATCCACACAAAATCATAGCACAAAATTTCAGAATCCCAGGGTTAGGGAAGGTATCAAAAGATTTCCAAAGAAAGGACTGGGCAAGGGGAAATATAAAGTTGGTTATAATTTATCACAAATGTCAACAGATTGAAGAGCACGAACTTGCAAAAATGAGTTTCAGCTTAGAATTTTATACTTTATTATACAGGAATGCATCAAATAGAAAGCTTGATCTTGAAAACCTTGTGCCATGCTCCCTTTCTCAGGAAAATGTGCTCCAGTAAAAGGAAGTCTAACAAGGCAGAGGAAAACACAGAATCTAGGACAGAGGGGATCCAACACTCGGTGGTAGCTATATGAGATTCCAGATGACTTGAGATAGCTCAGGAAAACAGGCACAGAGCAGACCTAGGGAAAAACCAGCTCCATGTTGGAGTAGGATGTCAAAAGCCTGGGAAGCTTATCCCCAAGGAAAATAAGGTAACAGATGTGCAAATATTTTCTTTTTTTTTCTTTTTCTTTTCCAATAAAGAGATAAGCATTTATTTCTTGAGGTTCTAAATTCTATTTCTTTTACGTTACATAATCCCTCTATAGAATATAGGAGACTTAACTTCTGCCACTGCCAAGCAGAAATTTTCATCATTAGTTTCTGCACACCAGTCATGTCCTGATAGTCAAGAATGGCAGCATAATTGCACATCATTCCTATCAGAACTTAAGACTAACATGCATGTGTACTGACCTCACATGCCAATGACTCAAGCACCTTTGACTATACAACTGCAAATCAAATATTTTCAATAAAATACTTTTGATAGGCATGTGACAAAAATGTAACATTTGGGTGAGACGGGAAAGCATTTAGAGAAAGGCAGGTGAATACAATCAATAAATTAAAAAAAATTATGAAAGCAGGAAAACCAAACAGGGAGCTGCATTTGTCTGTATGAGATAATGCTGGCTAGGAAAATAGGGACTGCATTATTCTTAAAAAGTGCATACTTGCTCAGATTTCATAAATATTTTCTGTACACCAGAAAAAAGAGGAGTGGTGTACACCAAGAGACACAGAATTATATGGGTCACCGGTAAATGTTTACAAGGTCATAATAACAAACATTCTCATTTAATAAAATCCAGGATACATATTGAGGGAACGGGGGGCGGGGGGGAAAATTAAGGTGATGGTTGAGCGAGGAAGCCAAACTACAACAGAGAGTCAATAGCATTCAAAATTTACTTAGTTTGCATTTTTTGTTACTTTTAGTTTGAAAAATAGGACAGTTGGGGATGAAGCAATAGTATAGTGGGAAGAGTGTTTGCCTTGCATGCGGCCAAATGGAGTTCGATCCCCAGCATCCCATATGGTCTCCTGAGCACCACCAGCAGTAATTAACCCCTAACTATCACAAATAAATAAATAAATATTTTTTAAAAGGGGTGAATTAGATTAACCCTGATAGGGAATATTTAAATAAATAAAAATAAGATAGCAAATTAAGGCAGAAACTTATACCATACGTATATTACTGGACTGTAACTTAAATGTCAAACCCCTTAAAGAATAAGTAAAAATGCAAGTCCAAAACTTTCTGGCTACATTTGATAATGAGGAAAAAAGAAGAGAATTTAAAGATTGGAGAAAGAGGTCCACAATAATTGTATAGGGTCCATTATGTTAGTGTAGGAATCATGGCACCATTAATTATTCAAATTACAGACTTCTTATATTTCAACTGTTTACTTACATGGTTTAAATGGTTGCTCTTCCGCTTTTCTCGCACTAAAAATAAAAAAAAATTAACCGATCAATTATGATACAAATATAGGAAAATAAACTTGATAATTATCTGATGTATTGATTATCAATATACAATATGAAATAAAATTCCACTGTATTTTTAAAGTAATTTCAAACAAAATTACAGCACCTTATAAAAATGAGGTTCATTAAGTAAAATCTAAAAAAAAAAAAATTCTCACAGTCTGACAACATAGCAGGAGAGATGTAGAAGATGTGGACAGGTGAGCTGGACAGTGATGGATGTGACCAGACCTTTGGTGGAGGGTCTGATGTGGGATATTGATTTTGTCAAGGTGTGAAGCTATAGTTCTGAAACTCTATAGGTATAAACCAATCTCACCTCAATTAAAAATATACTGTTTGCTGTGCTGGGGGATCAAACTCAGGGTCTCACATATGCAAGACAGGAACTCTATCACTAAGTTAAAACCCTGTCCTTCTCCAAAGTTTTGTACCTAACACAAATTTTAAATTAGGTACAAATAACTCTACATGACCAAAAAGGGAGGGGTGTCCTGTGAAAATTAAGGAAAGTGAACAATTAAGATGACAAATGGTGCCATTGCATATCCTAACTCTTATTCAGTGGTACTTTTCTGAGACTACATTCATACACAGCTTACTTAAAGTTGTGAAGATTGAACTGCTGACAACTTTAAGAACCTGGTACTGGCTAGACACTGAGTATTCCTGGAAGCATCCTGAAGCATTTATTAGCAATCTATTAAAATTACTTACTTAAAAAAATCAATGGGTCTTTATACAACTAAAAAGTAACCTACCTTAAATTAGTATTAAACTGGATTTGCTAACCTAAATTAATGTCTCTACAATATTTCAAGATAATTTTTTTCTAACAAAGGCCAGAAGAATCAAAGTTTCAGAGAAGGTTGGGGTGAACAGTGATCTTCACTCCCATCACCCTAACCATCCCCCATCCCCCCACCCCACCCAAAATTCAAGACAGGAATCAGAGGCGCACATTACCTACAACTGGAGAGCAAAGGGAGGGGACAGCCTTTCTTAACTGTCTCCAAAGTGTCTATGAGCATCCCATAGCTCTGGAAGAAACTGAGAAATAGAGCAAACCTAACCAGAAATCATTGACACGAGACCAAGTACACACACTTTGAAAATGTTAGTATAAGCAGCACTCTACTTTTCACTGTGCTGCATGACATCAAATAATATGGACCCTTCACCTATATTCATACTGTCGTGATCAACTAAAACAGCTTTGCCACATATGGTCATTAAACCCTATGTAAGAGGGCCAAGTAAGCAAGCAGAATTAGCTAAATTCCCCCAGTGCTGATTCTCATCCTAGAAGAAGCAGGACACAGGTAACTTCCAATGCTGCACATGCTGAGGCTGACATCCTCGGACCCCATCTTGGGCATGTCTGCACTGATATACCCATGGGTGGAATTATATTAAGGAGAGAAAATTTTAAATAACTTAAAAGTTCAGAGTAGCATAAATTTGGATATAAGATCCTCTCATATGGTATTGTGTAAAATGCAATCCACTTCATGGATTCAGTCCCTGTATAATTTTTCAGTTTAGGTCTAGTAAAATCTTAAAACTTAACTTTGACCTACACCCTGTCATTCACCTTTAAGATGTGTGCTCTTTTCAGAAAGGGAAATATATTTAGAAACAGACCACATCAAATCATGAGGTCAACAATGTCAATTAAAAAAAGGTGGCAAGATGTTTAACTGTCCATGAGTTACTAATAAACAGTAACAACTAAATGAAAGTGTATCGTCACATACTAAGATAAGTGGATACATGAAAAAGCAGAATAATTTGAGTGTTAATATTCTTAATAATTTCTATTATATACAAAATAAAAACAGTTGTGTCAAGCTTTTTCTCAAGAGAAAAAATATGTCTTACCATCGGTCTGTGATTTGCTGAGGAAGATTGTGCTTGCCCTAGGGTGATCAGAAGGGTTTGATTCCAAAGCTAAGTCTGTGAAGGAAGAAGAGGAAATGGTGTGAACATTTGGTTAGGCAGGAAAATACATAATTTAAAAAATAGTTACACATCAATTTTAACAGACGGGGAGAGTTTCTACTAACAATAAAAAGCCAATTTTAATAAAGGGGACAAAATAAAAAATTCTCCTGGGATTTCAGAGTTACAAAAATTCTACAGACAATTCTAAGAGGAAGAGGAAGTTATGTTTTTTAAAACATCCTAGATTTAAAGAGAAAAAAACTTGTCTCTTAAGTAATCTCTTCAACTGTCAGGTGAATTATGTGCTGTCCCCCTCCTATGTATATCAGAGTTAGAAATAGTCAACCAGGAATGGTCTCAACAAATAAGTTATGCTATATAGTCAATTATTTTGAAGTATCAACTGAGATTCAAATATGCCAAAATTCATTTTTAACAAATGTACTTTGAACAACCAAATGACTCATAATTCTAGCCTCATTCAACAAATGAACTCAATTAATTGTGGTTTACTTGAGGACTCTATCACAACAGATTTAAGGTAACTGCATAAAAACTCAATGTTGTAATTTTCTAGGAAAACTTTCCTTGGGGAAAAAGTATCTCTTCAATTTTGCTCTCAACTTCCAAAGCTAAATTCTCATTTCTTTCTTCCAAATCACACGATTCATTTGTAGCTTAAATAAGGGCAGGGCTGCTTATCAAAACCCAGATCAAGATAAGTCTGCTGCCAGCACACCTGGCATAAAGGTAGGTGAATATTCCATTCAGGCAATACAAAATACGTACTTGAATTTTCCTGAACTGCCACTAGATGGGATCAAAAGGCACCATGGAGAGAAGGTGGGGGGAGGTGAGAACTGGGGGGAGGGGGAGGGACTAAAATCCTGTCAGTGGCTTAGAGCACCTCCCTTGCAAGTTATATGCCCACAAATTCAATTTTCCTATTGGCCAGTGGGCCAAATGGGCCAAGCACCATCCTGGCACCTCAGCTGCCTTGTGATCCCTGGTGCCCCCAAACAATTTCTGGCCACACTTCAGCCAAGTGTGCAGGCACTACAAGGGATAAGACCCCTAGCAAACAGCACAGTGAAATGATGTGTGCACATCAGGACCAGGAACTGCAAGCCTCCACAAAGCACATGTGTTAGCACTGCGGTAAATCTGGAGAGCACCACACCCATTAGCTGTGCGCCACAACTGAAGGGTACACACTTCTCAGCCAGCGTGTGCAAATCACTAGGCACACTGATGCTAAAAGTGTAGGTACTACGACCCTCTCTCTCTCTCTCTCTCTCTCTCTCTCTCTCTCTCTCTCTCTCTCTCTCTCTCTCTCTCTCTCTCTCTCGCTCCCCTCCCATCCTGCCTCCAAGCATCACAAATAAAAGAAAGGAATGGGGGTGGGAGGCGGTGGAGGGAGGTGGAGACGGGAGATGCCTCAAAGGGCAGGAGCTCAGGACAGTCTTTCTAGCACCAAAGGCCTCTCAGATAGCACAGCTGCCGTGTGAGTCCCTCACCATCATCACAGCAGTATGGACAACCATAAAGGGAAGGGACTTGGGGAAGAGGAAGAAAACTAAAAAAATAAACGTATCAACTCATTGAAAACAGATGTTTTCAGGGGCACAGGAGAATACAGGGGTTAAGGTGCTTGCTTTGCACACACTGCCCACCCCCCCACCCTCCCTCCCACCTCCCAACCCAGTTCAAATCGTTGGCGTATATAAGGTCCCTGATGCAGAGTCAGGCCTAGTCCTTGAATACTGCTGGATGTGGTAAAAAAAAAAAACAACCAATAGCAAAAAAATACTTTTGAAAAAGAAAGTTGGGCAGGAGAGAGAGCACAGAAGGTGGAGCAGGCATGGTGCCTCCAGGAGTGATCCCTGAGCACTGCCAGGTATGAACTCAAAACATAATGAAGAAAAAGAAAATCATCCAACAGTCCTTGATAAAGTCCATCTTGAAGTCATTTAACCAATCTTATAAGAAAGCGGACAAAGATAAGGGTTGAGAATAGGCATTCTTGACCAAGGTCGAGAAAAGGCAGGATTTACCAAATCTGAAATTAATAATAGTTCAATTTTATACAAAAGTGGGGGTAGGGGGAATGTTTGGGTGGTTAAATAAAAATATGCTCTATCCTTGGCTCTTGGAGAATTGAAATTGTACACTGATTTAAAAAAAAAATTGTTCTAGTAGTGAAGACTAACTTAACATTTCGCAAACTCCTGTACCTGGAATCTTTTTCTCCCCAAGTAAACAGAACCTTATGTGAACTTCCTGGTACAACAGGAATCCGAACCATCCATTTTAACAATACAGCCAGCACCAGAAATTTACATAGCTAAACCAACTGCTTTGTTCTTCAGGGAAATTCCCTGCATTTGAGTTTATTAATGAATCTTCTATTCAACATTTTTATGTAAAAAGACTCATTTTAAAGTTTTTTTCACATATTTGCAAAATGAGATAATGTTAGCTTTCTGGAAAAATGAATTCAGTTCTGCAGAGGCTTTCGCAGCTGCCTCTACCCCAAAGGCTGCCATAAGGATGCATGACTTACTGCCTACCTTATTTTTTAACCTAAAACATATGCAGAAGTAGCCATATGATGTATTAGTGTCTGTGGCATGATAAATTTTAATCAGCAACTTTCAGTGAGAGTCCAGGAAAATTTCATACCAAAATCAAAACAGGAGGTTGAAAACACAGCCACACAAACTCCCCCAAACCAGTGTGAGCTACTGTGAATATAAATATAAAAATCAAGAAGGCTGAGATAAAAACAAATAACAACACAGGAAAAAAGCAAAATGAGCTCCAAGTGCCAAGTAAACAACAGGTCTTTCTCCTACCACGGGGCTGCCCAAGCGGTGAAGCGAGGGCAAAGGGGAGCAGTACTCAAAGGTCCCCTTCCAACCTAGTTTCCTTCCTGCACCCCCCCCTCCCCTGCGTGGCCCCCAGTCTCATGGCCTGGCCCCCACTTACCCGCTTTTCATCTATGCCCCTTTGGAATATTCTGAGGGTCCAGACCGGCTGCCGAGGCTCCTGAGCGCATCTGGCAAGGCCAGATGCCCTCACATGTATGAGGAGGGGAGCGAGGATGCAAGCCAGATCAACAGATGAGAGCAAACCAAGATGGTTCGGAAAAGATCATTTAATTTCTCAGCTAAGTAGTACTTAATTTACTCCTGGAACTCATTTCAAGAAAATACATGTAATTTTAAACTAATCTGAGATAGTATCTGTTAAAGAAAATCAACTGAAATGACCTCGTTAATTAGTAATTAGGATAATCACACTAAAGTCGGGGTTAGATAGAATATTGGCTTTCCTTAGACATGAACAGAAATTTTCAACCCATAAGCTCACAACCATTGCTTGTATTTAATTGTTTTAAATATATATATATATATATATTTTTTGTGGAGTTCATGCCCAATTCAAGCAGCCTAATCAATGGCTGAATGAATAGCAATACTCTACATAAAAAAATATGTATTTTTTTAAAAACAGCTCTAATCAATATACAACTTATAAGCTATTATATTATTAGTAATATTTTTGTAGCATATATTGTATAATGGATACATACCCAAACTCCTATTCCTGGGGTTTAAAAAAATTTAATCTTAATCAGTAATTTTTTTCCCTATGTATAGCTATTGATTTAAAAACATATGCATGGGATATATACATATATATGGAATATATGGGCTGGAGCAATAGCACAATGGTAGGGCGTTTGCCTTGTGTGCAGCCAGTCCGGCTGAGCCGGGTTCGATTCCTCCGCCCCTCTTGGAGAGCACGGCAAGCTACCGGGAGTATCTCGCCTGCATGGCAAAGCCTGGCAAGCTCCCCGTGACGTATTCAATATGCCAAACACAGTAACAATAAGTCTCAAAATGGAGACGTTACTGGGCCCGCTCGAGCAAATCGATGAACAACGGGAGGACAGTGTTTGTTTGTTTGTATGGAATATATATACACATGTATATATAGAGAGAGAGATAGAGGTGGGGCCTCCCAAGCAGTGCTCAGTAGTTTCAAGAGTCCCACCAATGATTCTCAACCAACGGGCTGTCAGTTCAGTGCAGGTGACCCAAGATACAGTGGAGCTTAGGCCCTGCCGTGTTGGGGATCCCAGGCCACCCCAGAGGTGCTGGGGGCCTCCAAACCACACTCATTGGTACTCGGGGGCCTCCACGGCTGCACCCAGTGATGTTTGGGGGACAATCCAAGTGGCAGGACTTGAACTTGGATTGGGCACTACAATATTTCCCAGCCCCCTAAAGAATATATTATCTCTTCAAAAGTGAGGTGATCTGAGCAAGGCAGAGATAGTTCAGGGCTTGGTGAGTCCACCTCAATTCCTATGGGACGGAGTGTACTCCCCAGCCCCTTAAGCCACTGTGTCCCTGGATAAAGCAACAGCCGCTGGGCCCAGCACGGAACTGTTTGGCCCTGCTTGGCTGATGATTGAAGGAGTGACCTCTGACTGTGGGCACTAAATTGAGCCCCCACCACCACCAAAATGAAAAAGTGTGATGATGACCAAAAGATCGGCTCTTTTTCTGGCTCAATGAAGAAGGCTGAAGTTGCTTTCTCTTTTACACTGATAGGGGAATCAATCAGTGTAAAATACTGCCAGTAACAGCACTTTAGTGTCTACTCAAGCTAGTGATACTGGGCGAAATAGGAGCTGAAGAAACCCTACTATAATTCTAATTTTCATTTTTTCCACAGTTTGACCATTTTTCCACAGTTAATGGTGTTATTTCCACTTTGGGGAATTGCCTGTAATTTATACATACTTGCACGTATTGTATCTACTAGGGATATAATATCAATTTGTATGAGTTTTTCAGAAAATATTAATATTCTAAAGCACAGAACTTTCTATATAACACAATTTTTGGTAAAAACAATGACAATCTTACTATTTTATAGACTACTGAAGCCATTAGATAGTAAACTCACATTCACATACAAACACAGTATTTCTGGGTTGT